GGAGGGGAGCAGGAGGATTGGAAGGAGGAGGAACAGGTGCAGATTGATGACGACGTCGCTGCCCCGATCCTGGGAGTCCGAATTGCCGATCCGAACGAAGATGTTGATGAAGCGGTTATCGGTCCGTCGATGCCACTCTGCCACGATGGGGAAGGCGAGGAGGACAGGAAGGCGGCAGAAGGGGCAGGGGACGGCGGTACCGCAGAGTGGTCAATTGAAGCAGTCGTTGATCCGACCTTGTTCGCAATCCGTACATCCACATTGAGGGCGAGGGTCGGAAAGGAATGGGAAGACGCAGGAGAGATCAGTAGAGGAGACGGAGGGCCATGATGAAGTCGACAAGTAACATGATGAGACCGAGGGTGCTATTCAGTAGGGACAGACTGGTCGCAGAATGGTCACAAAGACGATGAGCAGGGGAGGCCCGATGGAGGAGTCTCAAAGTAGGGTCGGAGGATGCGAACGATTAGGGCGACGATGAGTTGGGGGTGGATGTATTTGATTCCATCCATTCCCTGCGTATTCTCCATCTGTTTGTTACTTGTCTCATGACCTCTCGTTCTCTCGTTCCCTTTCTCTCTGTCTTTTTGTTGTTCTCTCTCTCTCTCTCTTGACATATTTAGAAACGTATATTCGTAGACACATGACGCATGATATCTCTTCCTCTATCTCGTTATGTCGCTCTCTCCTTCCCTCGCCCGCCTTGTTTTCTTTTCTCTCTCTCTCTCTCTATCTCTGTCTCTCACTGTCTCTCGCACTCTCTCTCTCTCTCTCTCTCCTTCCGTCCCTCTCCAGTCTCTAGTCGAGAACTTTGCGCAAAGAGAGCCCAGACAGCATGCGCCCCGCACCTTTCCCGCCTCTCGAGACCGGATACGACCCAGGTCGTGGCAGATTGGCGTCGCAGCCCCGTGTCATGTTCTCGCGCGTGCCCCCCATGGTTCCAGAGAGCCCTCGCCGTGCGTTTCATATGCCGCCGCAGCCCAAGACACCAGGCAAGGGCGGCCCAACGGCAACCTCAACGAATCGGCAGGCCGGGAGGAAGCCCTGCGTCGCTGCACTCCAGAGCATTGGTAGCGTCGACCGAGCAGTCGGTGCTTAAGACGAGATGCCGCACAAGCATAACGACGAACATGATAACATACAGATGGTCGAGGGTCTGCCCCCCCCCCCCCTACTCCTCCCCTCATGATGATGCCATCGGTCCCCCCCTGTCCCGCGCGATGGTCCCCCCCCCCCTGAGGGTGTGGTGTGGTGCTGTGGGTGGGGTGTGACGTGTGTGTGGCGTGGTACTGTGTGGTACCGTGCTGTTCCAGGAGAGCTCCGTAGGTCGTCGTCGCCGCCGCCGCCGTCGTCGTCGTCAGAGGGCTCCACAGGTCGGCGCCGCCGCCGCCGCCGCTGGCGGCCGTCGTCGTCGTCGTCGTCGTCGTCGTCGTCGTCGTCGTCGTCGTCGTCGTCGCAGTTCTGGTCCGTGGGCCCTGCTTGGGCTGTTCGCGCTGGGACCAGCGCCAACGGCGGGGCGCGAGGTCGGGCCGCCGTCGGTGCGCGTCGTGGAGGGCGGCGGCACGGCCACGGCGGCGGGCCTCCTTTGGCGGGGGCGGCCGGTGCGGCTGCGGTGCTGCCGTGAAGGCGCTGCCGGCAGCCATCGGCGCGGTGCTGCACCAAGTGGTTGGCTGGGGTCGCGGCGGCTCTTGATCAGGAGGGAAAAAGACACACAGACACTATTCATCTTCGATCCCCAGGAAAATATGGAAACATATGGGAAGCGGGGGGGGGAAAGACAAAAGCCTAAAAAATATAGGAAAGTATAGGGGAATATTTTTATTTGTGTGTATTTATTGCGAAGGCCTTACGGCCGGTGCCGCCGACCCTGTTCGCAATGCGCAGCAAGAGGCACGGGCTGTGGGATGGTTTTGGGGAACGGGGAGAAGGACGAGAAGGTGGGGGAGGGAGGTGTCGTATCTGACCCGGGACTTCCCCGGGACTCCCCTGGGACCCCCCCCGGGACCCCCCTCCCCCCCCCGTCGGGGAAGGGAAAGGGAAGGGGCTTCCCTTCGACTCAATTACGACGTTGCTCAAGGTCGGTACGGGGGGGGGGCGTCGTATCTGACCCGGGGGGGGGTCGCTACCCCCCCCCCCTCCCGGCGGGGGAGGGATCAAAGGGAAGGGGCTTCCCTTCGACTGAATTACGACGTTGCTCAAGGTCGGTACGGGGGGGGGCGTCGTATCTGACCCGGGGGGGGGGTCGCTACCCCCCCCCCTCCCGGCGGGGAAGGGATCAAAGGGAAGGGGCTTCCCTTCGACTGAATTACGACGTTGCTCAAGGTCGGCTTGGCTCGAGCGGCTCGGGCGCGGCTCGGGCGGCTGGGGCGCAGGACAGAGACGACGAGTACAAAGAATAACGGAGATGACGGCTCGAACGGAAAAGCCCCTCACACACGCCGACAGGGTCGGCGGATTGCGGGGGGGGGGAAAGACAAAAGCCTAAAAAATATAGGAAAGTATGGGGAATATTTTTATTTGTGTGTATTTATTTGTGTGCCTCAGGGCCCCTTCACTTGAGGGCGCCCCCTCAGGGAGCCTGGACGGCGCGACGGGGGCCCCGCAGGGCCAGGAGCTGCTTCGCCTGCTACGGGGCGCAGGGCAGCCAAAGGAAGGAAGGCGTCGGCGTGGAGGTGAGGAGGCCTGAGGGCGCCTACGGCCGTGGCGACCAGTCTCCCCGCGCAGGCCTGGACCCCTCGGCCTCGGCCCCTCTCCCAGGCGCGACGGGCCCCGCGGGGACAGCGCCTGGGGTGCAGCAGGAGGCTGCCGGGCCTGAGTCGGGAGGGGCGGAGGGTAGCGCAGGGCGGTCAGCCGCGGCACACGGGAAAGGAGGGGCAACGCGCCGGCCAGGCACCAGGCGAAGGAGCGGCTGTCGCAGGTCGCGCCCCCCCCCCTTCGACCAGGAGCGCGAGAGTTTCCAGGACGGCGGCGAGTGGAAGTTCAAGCAGGACAAGTTGCGGCGCTGGGCGCCGCAACTGGTACCATCAGCGCACCGTCGACGAGCGCGCCGTTGAGCAGCAGCTCGGTCCTGATATCCATGAGCGGGACGAGTGCGGCTTCGGGCACCATGCCGTTGCCAACTACGACGGATATAAGCATCTCGACGTGCAGCAGCGCGTTGGTAAGCCGCTGTTCGACCAGTTGCGCAACGCTGAGCAGCGCGACTGGGGACAACAGCTTGACCCTGACATGCGCAACCGGGGCGAGCACTGCCTCGTGTACCACGTCAGTGGTGAGCACAACGGGCACAAGCTTCTCAACAATGAGCAGCGCGTCGCTCGCCACCGAGGCGGGTGCCAGCAGCACATCGCTGAGCAGCGTGACTGCGGGCACCAGCGCCCTAACGAGCACCAGAGGGACAGGCATTGCCTCGAGTACCGCGCCGCTGAGCTCCACGACGGACACTGGCATCTCGACGTGGAGCACCACGTGAAGTAGCATCAGCTCGAACCCCGTGCCCACGAATGGGGCGATTACGGATTACGGTCTCGAGAACCATGTTGGTGACCGCCACGACGGGCACCAGTTGCACATCGTTGAGCATCGCGACTGGGAGCAGAGGGTCGACCCAGACGATCACGAGGGGGACGAGGACCATCCCGAGTACTGCATCGAGTACCGGTTCGAGTGCTGGCCTCGTAGCGCCTCGCGTTGGGCGGCCCGCCAGGTGTTCTGGTTGGTCCAGTTGGTCCGGACCCCCTGGTTTTCCCGACCTCCTGCCTGGACCTCGTAGTTATCTGGGCCTCCACGATCCGCAATGGCCAACTGGGGGTAGGATGCGTGCATTGGCTTGTTTCCGCGAGCCGCATTGGCCCACCAGGGGTGGGACGCGAGCCTCGCCATAATTTCACGAGCCGCATTTAGCCCACTGGGTGTGGGATGCGAGATTCGACTAGTTCGTCGGAGAGCACCATCTTCGGCCCTGGAGTGCACCAGTGGGACGGGCACTGCCTCGAGCACCACGCCGCTGAGCGTGCGCCAGTGGGACGAGCATTGCCTCGAGTACCACGCCGCTGCTCTGGACTGTACCACGTCGCTGAGTAGTACGACTGGTACTAGCATCTCAACGTTGAGCAGCACGTCGCTAACCACCACGGCGGGCAACAGCAGCGCATCACTGAGCAGCGCGACTGGGAGCACCTGCGCCCCAACGTGCACCTGCGGGACTGGCGCCCGACCGCCTCCTGGTGGCACCACCCCTAGGCTCATGCTGCCCCTTTGTCGGCGCTGCTTCCTCCTCTGCCCTTGAAACGTGTGCCACCAGGCAAGCACCTGTGCAGCTCGGGACCTGCCTCACGGTCCGAGGGTTGAATAGTTACGCGAGGGCCCCCAGCTTGCCCTGAGGCCCGGCTTCCTTGGCTTTTGGGCCACACCACCTTTCCGCGTCCGGCCCAGGGGGGAGGCTCTTTGCACCCCGTCGCGGGGTGGTGCCCTCTGCCTCTGCCCGCTTGGCCTCGTGGCCCCTTGGCGCCTGCTCCGTCGCGTGTGCTCTTTCTGGGCCGCAGGGGGGGGGGGGGAATGCCCCGAGGGCGGTGCCGCCCACTGTTGCCAGCGCGCGGATAAGGGGTATAGCGCTAATGCCACGGGGAGCACAGGCGGGCTTCGAGCGGCCCGATCACTGCATGCCCGCTCTGCTTTCCAGCCGGGGCCCCGCACAGGCTGCGCTGGAAGGGGGGTCGTGCAACGACCTTGTATCGTAAGCGGCGTCTCCCGCCTTGTGAGGTATGCTTGCGAGGCGCTTGTTGCCTCGGGGCCAGGACGAACCCTCGTCCGAAGTGGTACACATCTCTCCTTCTCTCCCCCATATGTCTCTCTTTCCCTCTCTCTCTGTCTCGTTCTCTCTCTTCTCTATATCCCTTTTTCTCTTTCCCTTTCTCTCTCTTTTTTTTTTCTCTCTCTCTCTCTCTCTCTCTCTCTCGCTCCTTCATCTCCCTTCCACCGCCCGCTCACAGTCTGGGGAGGAGCTATACGCCCCCGTCGTCCTCGACGATGCCTCGGAGCGCTTCCTGGGCGCGGAGGCTAGCAGGGGATGACGACCGCGCCTTTTCTTGTGAGGGTTCCACTCGAGGCAAGCCTGCCCCTGGATCTCGCCCTCCGCTGCAACGACCCGCGGCGAGACTGAGAACTACAACGCGCCTTTTCCGCGCTTCGAGGGCGTCCAGACGGCCAGCCCGAGCCCTGCCATACTGGGGACCCTCAGACGGCCAGCTCAGCCCTCCTTGGGATTGCCCTTGGAGGCTCCAGGATCCCCCAAAGCCCGCCTCAGGTCTCCTGGGACATTTCATTCTCCTCCCGGGACCCCGAACTTTGTTATCCCCAGGGTGCGATTTTCACCAGCATAGGATTCTGGATGGCGGCTGCTCCCATGGATGCGCCTCCCTCTGGTGAGTGGGCGCTGCATCGCCTCGGGCGCCTGCCTGCGCCGCCCCGCCCGTTTCCAGGGTCGCGCGAGCAGCACGGGCCCAGGCAGGACACGCACGGATCCTGAGAGGAGGACCGAGGAGGCGCAGGAAGGGGAAGTTCTTCTTGTTGCTGCTCGGCTGGCGGCTGGCGCTCGGCTTCTTTGGTCGCGCGTCTTCCCATCTGGCCACGTGCCACCGCTGCCTGCGCGGGCTCCCTGGGCCTTGCCCCAGGGACGTCCGCAGACGGGCGGGGCATCCCAGGGAGGGCTTCTCGCCCTCGAAGGGTCGGGAGGTTCGCCATCTCTTCCTCGGCGGGTGCGGGCGGAAGGCCAGCGGAGGTCGGCGGAAGGATGGGGGCGCCTCCGCCGGAAGCCGCCTCCAAGAGGCGCAGTGGTTGGCTGGGGGATCTAGGGTATCTGTCACAGGCCGGATGGGCTCAAGGGTTCTCCCATCTTCTTCGCTGCACCTTCTGGGGGCCTGTCCTGCCCTGGAATTTGCAGTCTGTTCTTGTACTCTGACGTGGCCCCAACGCGGATTCGACACGGACTCGACACGTTCGACGTGGATTCGATTCGGAGTCGACACAGAACATTGGCACAGTGTGACATACGAGGCCCCCCCCGAAGATGCAACGAGCTTGCTCTTTTTCATAGCTGGGCCGTAACGCGTGTTATGACCCCCCCCCCTTCCCCCCCTTCCCCCATAACGTAACGCCCCAACCCCACTGCGTCCACAGCACTGCCACAGTTCGTCCGGCAGAACAGTCTGCGGTGCAGGACCCACATTGCGGGAGGTGGGCGTTACGTTATGCCCACCCCTCGCTTCCCTCCCCATGACGCCCGCTATCGCCGCAAATTTGAACATGCTCTCGGCAAGATATCCTGCCATCGAGGATCAAAGAACACCTACCCATACAGGCACAATGAAGACGTGGCCTCACTGAGGTCTCCGTGTTTACATTAGCGATAATAGCTCTGGGCGGTTTGGTTCGATACATCTGCAGACAAGGCCCCCTAGGTCCCCTCCCAAAAGGGTCAGGGCTTCTTTTTATTGCTAATCATCCTGCCCTCCCGCTGTCCCCCCCTTCCACGCACAAGTGCGGGGGAGAGGTCGGCAGCAACAACACGGGCGAGCTGAGCGCCGTCTGCGAGGCGTTCCCCCTCTGTTCGCGGCGCGTGGCGCAGGGGAGGGCGCAAGAGAAGGAGGAAGCAAAAAGGAAGAGGAAGGAGGAGGAGGAGGAAAGGGGAGGATCATCAGGAGCAGAACGGACGTTGCAGCCGCGACGCTCAAGTTCGCCCAACGTAGCAGAGGAGGAGGAAAATGAGGATGAGGAGGAGTGGGTGGCTGGAGGATGAGGGGGCAGGGGAACGGGAAATGGAGGATGATGGGGCATGGAGGAGAAGGGGGAACGGAGGATGAGGGGGGATGGAGGAAAAGTAGAGGGGGGGATCGAGGAGGAGGAGGAGGAGGAGGAGGAGGAGGAGGAGGAGGAGGAGGAGGAGGAGGAGGAGGAGGAGGAGCGTGGGGGGGGGGGAAGTCTGAAGGTGCTCTCGGAGGCATGCGTGTGTGGGGGGGGGCGGGGGGGGGGGGAGGAGGCAACGGCCCGAGGAGGGCAGGGCGCTGCTCTGCCGCACGAGGCGTGCAGCGGTCGGCGAGCAGCCGCGCGTCGGAGGTTTTGCCTCCCGCCTGCACGGGGGGCGCTCCGAGGAGAGGGCCCCGCCGCCGAGGAGGGGCCACCTTCGTGCCCGGCGAGGAGTGGTCGGCGGAAGGTCGGCGGGGAAGGGAGGCGCGGGGGCGGCCTCTGCCAGCGGAGGCCGGCGGCAGGCGGGCGGAAGGCAGCGGGAGCAAGCTCGCAGAGCCCCGACTCTTCGGGATTATGCTTTTCATTGAAAACCAAGTATTTCCTAAAAACTTTCAAACAATCAATGTATAACATGTTTTTTGAACAAATTGTACCAAACCCAAGAAATGGGGGGGGGGTCAGGGGAGTAGCTCCTGGTTCGCGCCTCGGGGGTCCAGGCAAGAGTTGTCCTGGGCTGCAGCTCTCCGAGACAGTTCGGGCTTCCAGCCACTCCCGAGCCAGCCAGCCAGCCGACCTCTCCTGGTGCGTTCGTCGGGGGCCTGGATCAGAGTTGCCCCAGACCTCAGTTTGTACCCGGACAACCGGGGCGTCTACTAGCTAGCCCTTCCAGGAGATGACAGTTTTCGGGGGTTCTGGATTGCCCGAGCACTCCACAGTCAAGGCGCTGAATTAAGGACCACTTGTGGCTCAGGAGGGATTCAGTGTTACGGACCCTTCTGTAGATCCAGATAAGGGACTACCCGTTTCGTGAAGCACAATGCAGCCCCGAATATGAATAACACGATGAACTCGGCGGCCTAAGTCATGTTCACACGATTTAACATATGGGTGGCTCCGTCTCACACATCTGCCACAAAAGACTTCCTTGTCCTCAATGTTGCTGGCCTTCCCATTTCAGGCCCCCTCCCAGAGGATTCAGAGGCACTCGGTCGCCATTCGTGGCCTGGGCGCGCTGTGGCCAGCAGCATGCCCTCCGCTCCCTGACTGGCGCTCCCGGAGGTATCGCGACGACTGTATAGGGCCGACCTTGCGCGCGTCCGCGGGAGGCCACCAGGAGGGCAAGCGGCTGCCCCAGAACCGGCACGGTCCAAGCGGTCACGCACAGAAGCGGGCGGCCGGTGATGCGGGGGGAGGGGGGTGACGAGAAGGGCCCCCGAGAGGCCATGTAAGAACTCCCTTCTTGGAGCCGGCAGGGGCCCCGAAGGACCCCTTTCGGGCCCCTGTCTTCGCCCCCATCGAGGTCATCCCCCAATGCCCCAATGCCACCCTGCCAGAAGCATGGGCACGAAGACGGGCAGCATTTCCTGTGTCATGTTGGTCCAGGTTCGCTGTCCCTGCCACCGCAGGCGTTGTTCATTTGAGACACAAGGCCGCCCGCCAATTAGCGGCCGCCGTCGGCGCTGGACAACGTTTGTGGTTGGGCAGCGTACCCATTCTTCCGCACCCAGTTCGGGCGTCCAGAGATCACCTTGCTCCTCGATCCTCGATTCTCCACTCTGCCGCCGCTTCTCGTTGCCCCCCCGCCCCTCCGCGCCGTGATCGAAGGCTCTCCTGTGGCTCCGCGACCACGAGCACACTGGGCGGCCCGCATCGCACTCGGCGCCAGCCCCGATCGGATCGAGGGGTGCGAGCAGCCTCCTGCACTCTGCGCTTCCGCATCCCCCTTACTCCGTCCGGGCCCGCCCTGACCCTCCCCATACTGCCCTGCCTCCTTTTTCGTCCGAGGAGCCAGGGTGGGCCGGACGCGGAGTGGAGTGCGAGAGGAGGAGGAGCAGGAGGAGGAGGAGGAAGAGGGAAGAGGAGGAGGAGGAGGAGGAGGAGGAGGAGGAGGAGAAGGAGGAGGGGAAAGAGCGCGAGACGAGGAGGAGGTGAAGGAGGAGGAGAGAGGCGTAGGAGGAGGAGGAGGAGGAGGAGGAGGAGGAGGGAGGAGGGAGGAGGCGATGGAGGAGGGGGAGGAGTGCGCGAGGAGGAAATGGAGGAGGAGGAGGAGGAGCAGGAGGAGGGGGAGGAGTGCGAGAGGAGGAGGAGGAGGAGGAGAGGGAGGAGGAGGAGGAGGAGGAGGAGGAGGAGGAGGAGGAGGAGGAGGAGGAGGAGGAGGAGGGAGGAGGAGGAGGAGGGGAGGAGAGGAGGAGGAGGCGAGCAGGAGGAGGAGGAGGAGGAGGAGGAGGAGGAGGAGGGGGGGAGGAGGAGGAGGAGGAGGAGGAGGAGGAGGAGGAGCAGCAGGAGGAGGAGGAGGAGGCGGGGGGGAGAAGGCACGCAGTCTCGAACCTGCTGGGTAGATCGGACCAGGGGGAAGACGGGGCGTCTGGAATGACTGAGCTGCCCCACGCTGCCTCTTCGTTCTGTCCTGCCTCACTTTGAGGACCAGGAGGAGCAGCTAGAGAGGGGAAGGAAAGATCATGACGGGGGGGAGTAGCAAAATAATGCGGATGAGGCCGGGCAGCGGGACGCTGAGGAGTAGGAGAAGCAGCAGCAAGAGCAGCAGGAGCAGGGGAGGCCTAAGGGGAGGCAGGGTGAAGCATGGCGGGTTGAGAATGGAGCGTCTGAATACAATACTTCTCTCCAACTTCTTGCTCGGCGCTGAGCTGGGCAAAGCCCGGCCGTTCAGGGGCGCCGAAGGAAGGGTAAGTGTCTTTGGTGTGGTGGCATCGCCCCCCCCCCCAGCCATCCATCCATCGCCGATCGGGGCCCGAACAGGTCCAACAACAATGCCCGAGTGATGGGTGGATCGGCAGGGTGCTCGTCGCGCCTTCCCCCTTGCGCCTGCTCCTCCCCCTCTCCAGACTATGCGCTGACAAGCAAGCGTTGCCGCTCGGGGCTCGGGCGCCCCCGTGCCCTGGGAAGTGGCGTTGCGCGCCACCGCTCCAGGCAGAGGCTCCCCTTCCCGAGCTGTAGCCCCCTCACCTCCCGGCTCCCTCACAGCAGGCGCACCAAATTCGACTACACGTAAGAGTGACCTTTCGCCGGATTGACCTTTGGTGCGGGCCCAGTGGGGCCCCCCGATCGCCGAACGCGATGCTGTAGTGGCGTCTCGCGCGCTCGCTTTTGGCCCCCCCGCGGCCCCCCAAAGGCCGCACACCAAAGGTCACTCTTACCCAGGGTCACTCTTGCGTGTAGTCGACAAATAAGAGGTTGACATTCCAACGGGTGTGTCCCATTACTCCTTCTTACGGTCAGGAGCTCTGTCTTAGCGCGTCGCGCCGCTGGTTCTGGCCCGCCACGCTTCGGCACAGAGCACGCCCCAGCCCCCAGGCGACCGCGTTCCGCCCCGCGGAGCGGCGTGACGCGCCATCCGCACGGCATGGCGTGTCCCCGGGGCCGCCGCGGAGACACGCGCGCCCAACCGGATCTCCCGAGGTTCCTGCAGAGCGCTGGGGCACCTGACGAAGCGCAGAGCCGACGAAGCCTCCATAGTTCTGACGCCAAGGGTTCTTGCTGTGTGTGCCCGCTTCAGCTCGCGAGGGCGTGGGTGCCGCCGAGGCCGTCATCTTCTACGACTCCAAGTACGCCGCCATGATCACAATGGGCGTGCGGGGGGCCTAGCGAGCTTGAAGGACCTCTGGGGGATTGAGTTTCCCTGCTGCAATAGACCGCAGAGCTCTCTCAAGGCGTTCGGGGATGGAGCTTGGAAGGTTTGGGGTGGTTCCCTGCAGCCAAGACGCTGAACTAGTGACAGTTCGCGTTCGGAATGGACCCGCTGTTCCTTATGTCCTTTCATGACTGTTCCTCGATCGCTCCGCGTGTACCCAGGTGCTGGGTCCAGGCATGGAAGTTTTTCTCAAGTTGCCTATGGTACCCTGGCGATGATTGTAAAACGTTGAGGCTAGGGGGATGACGACTGTATACCCTGGAGTGTCAGCGATGTTTCAATCCATCTTCTCGTCACACGTCCCCTTCCCGCAATTCCCTACGAGCATTGCTTTTCACTGCGGGAGCGCCCCGTTGAAACACGAGGAGAGGAGGAGGGAGGATAGGAAGAGGGAGAAACGAGTCTCGAGGATCGAGCGGCTTGTTTTCGCTTCTGTTTTTGATTGGTGGCCTCTGGTGGCCGTCAGGGATCAGCTCTCGTCTGGAGAGGTCTTGGGGAGGCGGGGAAGGAGGAGGGAAGAGGGAGAAGGAGGAGGAGGGACGGAGGGACGGCGGGTGGTGGTGGCCACCGAGCGAGGGAGGCAAGACCCGAGCATCGTAGCACGCACGACGGCGACGCCGAGAACGATGCGTGACTGCGATCCGCGCCGACGCACGGATTTGGGAGGCGGCCCCCCCCCGCGAGGGCTGGTGCACAGCACATCGATGATCGGTGCTGCAGACTCCCTTCCCCGAGCACGCCCCCCCTCCCTGAAGCAGTAACCCGACATCGCAGGTTTGCACCCATTGGGCGCGTTATGGCACCTCTTCTCCCACATCGTCAAGGCAGACCCACCGTCACGATGGAGGGCAGCGGTGCCCTACCCGTTCCGGAGCCAAGAAGCCCTAAGCGCCGCGGCTCAGAGAGCCATGACATGAGACAGACGGGCGGTGGGTCGGACGAGCTGCCAATTGGCGTGCCATCCTTGGCCAAACGCATGATCGGTCACTGGGTACGGGGGACAAGCCCCCAGCTGAGCAACACGAACGAGCAGAGGAGGACAGAGAGGGAATATTGATTGTCATGAGGGCAACGGGGAGGGAGGAGGATGCATAGCCACACGTGGAAGGCGAAGATGGAGTAGGAGAATTGCAGGGCCTAGATTGTTTGCGAGCGGGTCCGGGGGTGTCGCAGTAGGCGGGAAGGGGGGAAAGAGAAGGGAGGAGGGCGGCTCGAGGGGAGGAGGGAGGAGGGGCAGGCAGTGCGACTGCTCCTGCTGCCAGTGCTCCCCTTCATCCTCTCGCTCCTCCTCCTCCTCCTCCTCCTCCTCGCCCTCCCCTGGTGATGCGATGCCATATGGTCTTCCTCTTTCCCCTTCTTCGCTGCATCAACTTTTGCCCGTTCTCCTGTACATGCTCCTTCTCCTGTCGAGAGCCAGGATTTACCACCCGACGTGTGATCGACTATTTGTTCATGCCATACTGAGTTCACTCGCCTGGATCTTGATAGCGCAACGCAGTCATCTTCAAGAATTCCACGAGTCCGATCCGATGCCTGGTGATTTGCCTGTGTGGTGTCTACGTGTGCCGCGCAGGCCGAGTGCATTGTGTGGGCCGATGCGCAATGCATGGTTGGCCTGCACTTTTCCAAGCAGCGCGCCGTCAGCTGCCAGATTTGTTTGCAATCAGCTTCTGGTAGCTCAGATCTGCCAGACCTTAGCATCCAGTGTGTCTTTTGCCTGTCGAGTGGACGGCGAGGCAAGGCACGCGCGATTCGCGCGGGCCGCGTAGTCAGCAGTGCTCGAACAACAAGCGACAACATAAACGTTCGTTTTCTGAGGGCCAATCGGATTTCTTGGATCAGCACTTGATCCCCCCTGGCGGCGCCTCCAGTGCCGCCCCTGGTGCGCTCCGCGCACCACGGCAGGAGCCTGCAGCGCGGAACTCCAGAATTACATGTTTACGGCGGTGTGTGTGTGTGTGTGTGTGTGTCCGCGTTTCCCAATTAGGGCTACTCGCGTCCCGTTTAGCTCTTGACCGGAAGGGGCCCGCTCCCGACCCGCAGACCAAAAAAAGTGTGTTTGTCCATGTCACGATTCGGAGGGGAGCGCCGAGGAAGTTTTGTCGAGGGCAAGGGGAGCCATCTGATCGGGGTGGGGGGGCAGCGTGAACCTGTGGACAGGAGTAGGCCGCGCGCCGCACTCGAAGACGCCCCCAGAAGCCGACACTTGCCAAACACTCCCTGTGTTGTTTTCTGTTCGCAACGGGAGGAGGTGGAGAAGGCTCCACCGACACCCCTCATCTGGCGCGCGGAGAGCGCCTAGGGAGGAGCCAGAGGAGCCGGAACGGGGCCAATCGCCGATCCAAGAAATCCGCGTGGACCTCCGAAGGTTTCTGTTTGCGCAGTCTGATGTTGCCTTCGCGCCCGCCTGCAATGCCGGCCCAAGGGCTCGAGGGCGCACGAACCCGGCGCTCAGTTCTCAGGGTCCACGTGAGGGGGCGGTCAGCTCAGGAGGGGCTGCATCGACCCCCAATCGCGCATCGATCGCTGATAGGGGCCCGATGGCCCTCCCCGCCTAGGAGAGTTTGGATTCGCAGTCGAGGGACCCATCGCCGATCTATCGGCGATGTATCGCCGATTCCAGCTTGGTCTTGCCCACCCGGAACTGGTCCTCCAGTGGCTTCTGGTCCATCCCCCGCGGCTCCACGGCCCAGTGAGGGCCTTGAGAGTCAGACCTCGGGACAAGTTTCCCTCGCGACCCGCTTGCGTTATGGCGATCTGCCACATGGCTTTTGCGTCACAGCTCGGGTCTTCGAGGGAAGTTCGGGACGATCCAGATACCCCCGGAACGCTCTCGGCGAGGCGCAGGTGCTGGAAGATGTCCCGAGGCTGGACATTCGCCGAGAACCAACGGAAACGCCAGAAGACCTGGAACCGTGAAGCATTTCACCGCGATCGTGCCCTGCTCGTTCCCCCCGACCGCCCCCTTGCCAGAGAGGGCACCGGCCCAGCGCGCAGTCCAGCCTGCCATGGCGGTGCGGGCCCCCGTGCGGGGCATTCACGGCATCCCGACGCCCTGCCGGGCTCGCGCGGGCGCGGTCCCCCGCGGCGGCCCGGCGGCCGCCGAGGCGGCGGGGCGGCTGTGCGAGGCCTTCCTGCACGCGGGAGAGCGCACCGAGCCCAGACATCCAGCGTACTGAAAACTATCTCGGCGAAGGACCGCAGCATCGAATGCAAATAACGGCGTGCAAATCATCTGCCGGAGCCCCCTTTGGCCCCGCGCTGCCCCTTGCGCGCTCCGCGCGCAAGGGAGGGAGGGTCCATCGCCGATCCAAGAAATCTGCGCGGATCTCCAAAAGTTTATGTTTATGTTTGTCATGCTCCTCTATACTATGCAAGTGCGAATACCGCAAGGAAGTTGAGACGAAGGGGCGTGACGGGTGCGCCGGCGGAGGCGCATGTGTACGCACCTGCTGGGGCCTCAGGTCGAATTCCATATAGGGTCACGAAACGAGTGAGGGATGCGCCCCGATGGGGGGGAAAGGCATGTGGACGCACACGCTGGGGCCCCTGGTGGGGAGCCTGGGGCCACGAAAGTTGTGAAGGGTGCGCGGCAACGAAATGTGTGAGGGGTAACCGCATGTGGACGCACCCGCTGGGGCCTCAGGTGAAGCGCCCGGTGCCACGAAAGGTGTGAGGGATGCGCCGACATGGAGGGGATCAGCATGTGGACGCACCCACTGGGGCCTTTGGTGATGGCCCCGCGAAACATGTAATGGGGTGCGCCAATATAGGAAGGAACCGCACGTGGACGCACCCTCTGGCGCTTCAGATGGAGTCCCGTGCGGGGCCGCGACGTGTCAGCAGTGCGCCGGAATGCGGGGAAACCGCATGTGGACGCACCCGCTGGGGCCTGGGCCACGAAACGTGTGAGGGGCGCGCCGAAACGGAGGTAAGAAAACCGCATGTGCCCCCCCCACCCCGCAATCCACCTCCCGCGAGCCCCCCTTATGGGGCCACGAAACGTGCGATTGGTGCGGCAAGATATGGGGGGAACCGCATGTGCACCCCCCCCCTTTAGGTCCTCTGTGGAGCTCCCCATGAGGTCACGAAATGTGTGAGGGGTATGCCGAACTGTGCATGCAGAGGGCAGAGGCAGTGATGGGAGCAGGGGGAGGGAAGAGGAGAGGAGACGCGAGGCGGTCCCTCCAAAACGAGGACCCAGCACCACAGGATGGGTGGATCGAGTTTTTTCCGACCCTCCAGTTTAGAGTATGTATTCGTCTTGAGTTTTGAACCGGATTATGCTGTTGCTCTTTTCATCTCCTCCGCCTTTCCTCCCGCCTCCCAGCCTCCTCGCTGCCTCCCCCCGCCTCCCCTCCTCGCTGTCTCCTCGTTTCCTCTTTGCTAGTTCTTCTCATTACTCTTACTATTCTTCTTCGTTTCTTCCTCGCTTCACCCCCTCGCCATGCCTCGGTGTTGCCAGGTGCGCAACTGTCGTCACTCTGCTGCGCTGCGCCTTTGAGTGGTCCAGCGGAGTCGTGCCCAACGCGGATCGAGCTAGACATCGTCCTCCCTGGGTGTTCCCAAGCGTTGAGCGTTGCCACGTTGTTACGCCCTTGGGGGTTAAGCGAAGTGACGTCCAATATACCAGAATTTGCTCTCCCTGGGCGCTGCAAGGCGCGCAACTGTCCCGTCTTTGCTGCGCCAGGGGTGATCCAGCGGAGCGCACCACATACCATATTGCCCGCACAACCTAGATGAGGAATTTGGCTACATATTGCTTACACCACATAGTCACATAGCTTAGACCAAGTAGATGACACCACATGTATTGCACCACGCGGATTGCATTACACAGGCTACACGGCATACATCGTAGTGCGTGGGTTGCATCACATGTTCAGAACTCCGAAGTTCATACCCCATGGCTCGCACCACACAGGTTGCATGATGTAATTCACACCACAGTGCGTGCACCGCATAGCTTAGACCGCATAGGGGAGGAGGGGGAGGAGGAGGGGGAGGAGGAGGGGGAGGAGGAGGGGGAGGAGGAGGGGGAGGAGGAGGAGGAGGAGGAGGAGGAGGAGGAGGAGGAGGACACGTAGAATGCATCATTCAGTGCGGTATAAGCCACTGTTCGAGGCCCACGCTGGCTAGCACTTATGTGTTGCCGTCTCGCGCATCCCGCTGCTCGCGCCCTCGGGAGGCTCCTCGTCGCCACGGCCGCACTCCCTCCGAAGTTCTGGTCGGGACGCGCCCTGGTGGATGTGTGGAGGGAGGCGGTACCTCCCTGCCGCCACGACCATCGGAGACCTCCCTGCCGCCACGACCACGGATGTGTGGAGGGAGATGTGTGGATGTGTGGCACCTCCTTGCCGCCACGACCACGGAGATCCGGGCGGCCCTGCGGGCGAGAGGGGACGAGCTGTCTCCTGCCGCTCGCGGCGCACTCGGGGCCGTTGACTTGGGCCGCGGAGGGGCGGTGGCCCAAGACCAGCTCGGGAGGAGCGGCCCGTCCCGTGGAGAGCCCCCGGTCCAGGACCCGCCTCCCTGCCCCTCCTCCGTTCTCCCGTCTTTGGTGGTGGCGTGGGGCCCCCGTCCAGGGGGATCTCGACCCGTGTCCCGGGGCGATCGTTGCATCCCGAGTCGTGCCTGTCCCCAGTCCAGGGGGCTGCACCCGCGACGCCGACGCCCGAACGGAAGGGAGGACCTCTTTCCCTTCCCTCCCCGGGCGAGGCTGTCCCGTGCGCGAGGGCGGACGCCGCCTCACCACGGCAGGTTCGCGCCGCGTTGGCGCGGAGGCGACCCCAGCGCGGGCGGTCGAGGTGGCATACTGCCAGTGGCCCAGAACCGGTTGAGATCGAACGATCGGACCGTTCAGGACTGAAGGGTCCACGTGGTGCCAGAAGCCAGGGCGCAAGCCGCCACGGCGCGAGTCGGCCGCATGCCAAGCGAGGCCTTCCTGTGCACGGAGGCGGACGCCGCCTCCTTCCTGGCCTTGTCGGCGCTGCGGCGGGAGCTCGGACGGCTCCAACCCTTCACCGGCACCGATCCTGACGAGACCGACCTTTGGCCCAGGACCAATGCGTACGCCGTCCTGGCTGCGGCCCCATGGCGCGAGATCGGGCCCTGGAGGTCGGAAAAGCCTCCGCGATCGAGCCTATGGGCGCCGGCAGGGAGCACGGCCAATTCCACTCGGATTGGGTCAGAGCCCCGAATCATCAGGGGTAACTCGGGTCAGGGCTAACTCGGGTTCGTTTTTCGGGAATCCGAACCCGACTTACCCCGGACCCGAGTTACCCCGGATAATTCGGGCGTCCAGAACCCCACATCATCAGGGGTAACTCGGGTCAGGGCTAACTCGGGTTCCTCTTCCGGGAATCCACACCAGAGTTACCCCGGACCCGAGTTACCCCGGATAACTCGGGCGCCCAATTGGGAACTCTAGGGTCGAGGGTTTGGGGAAGTGCGCCGACCTGGGCCAGATCTGGGGCCCCGCAGGGTCTCCAAAGCCGTCGCGCTCCCCGCCCTCACCTCTGCGACAGACGCCGACGTCGAGAGCTTCGCCAGCGCTTTGTCGGCGCGCAAAAGGGGGTAGGGGGAGGGGGGAAGTCTTCTTAGAAGCGCCCTGCTTCTTAGAAGGCCTCGGCCTTACGTCTATAGAGAAGGCCCGCGCCTTCTAAGAAGCAGGGATGCTTCTAAGAAGCCTTCCCCCCTCCCCCTCCCCCCCTCTGCGCGCCGCCAAGTTCTCCGACGGTGTGCCCTCTGTTCCGGCGCAGACCTGCAGAGGTCCAGCCCCCTTCCCGGAGGCCAGCGTGTCATCGCGGGCTGGTTTGTGGGTGGTCTCGCGGCCGGGTGAGGGCCCCCCGGGGGCCGAAAATCGTCAGACATGTCGCTCCGTGGTTGCTGAGAGGAGGCGGGGGTTCGGAGAGTCCCGGTGCGGATGCCGGCGCCCGCAGGAGCTTTCCACGCGCCGCGACCCGCCCATCCGCGAGGTGATCGCCGCGGGGGTCCCGGGGAGGCTGGCCGCCCTGCTCCGGGAGGGCGCCGTGCCCGCGCACGTGCAGCGCGAGGCGGTGCTGACCCTGGCCAAGCTCTCCGAGGGCTCCACCGAAGAGGTTCTGGGAAGAAGCAAATGGCCGTGACATCCTCACGTCGTGGACAGAAACACGACGGGAGTTTTATATCTCGGGGGTGGACAGAGCCCCCAACAGTGACACGTCGATTAGTGAATTGTCCGTTTTCGGTTCTCGAGATGGCGCCGCGGCCGTCATTTTCCAGGCTTGCGCCCGCCAGATTTTGGCCCGAGGTCGTTTTCACTAAACCACGTTTTACTAAAAGGAGGTCTGTCCAGCCCCGAATATCAATTCTGAGTCTAGACTCGCGTAACCCAACCAGCCCATCCACAAACGATGCCCAGGCGATTTGCCCTGATTAGGGAATAATGGCTGGGGAGCCGTCATGCCCCAAGAGGGGGCGGATGGAGGAGGACCCAGAGGAGGAGGGGGAGGAGGAAGGGGAGTGGAAGGAGGACGGAGGGGGGGGAGGGAGGAGGAGGATAAGGCGGACGAGGGAGAGGAGGAAGGATGTTTGGCAAGTGCCGTTGCCCGCAGACCCTCACCGGGCCCCTGGACTGTCAAAAAAGAACTGGATCAAAAGGCGGTGCCCAGGACGGTGTCCAGACCTCGGTTGGGGGCTCGTTCTGAAAAGGTCAGAAAGAGTGTGGTCTACCGCTGCTGGCGGAAAACCGGGGGGGGTCACTCGGGGTTACCAACCCGTCCCCTCCCCCCTCGAAAACCACGGGGGGGTCACTACCCGTTCGAACCCCCCCCCCCCCCGGGTCCATCATGAAAAGGGGGGGGGTCACTACCGGTTCGAACCCCCCCCCCCTCGAAAACCGGGGGGGGGGTCACTACCGGTTCGAATCCCCCCCCTCGCCGCCAGCGAACGATTCCCGCTCTTCGGGACAGTTGGACGGTGCTGGGGATCTTGGGACAGTGGTAGGTACAGTGGTGGTGGGGACAGTGCTGCGGGGACAGTGGGACAGTGGTGCGGGATGAAGTGGGGACGGTGGTGGTGGGGACAGTGGTGTGGGGACAGCGGGACAGTGGTGGGGACAGTGTAGTACAGTGGCGAGAGTGGTGGGGACAGTGGGACAGTGTTGAGGACAGTGGGGACAGTGGGACAGCACAGCGGAACAGCGGCGGGGACAGTGGGGACAGTGGTGGGTACGGTGGGACAGTGGTGGGGACCGTGGGGGAAGTGGGGAGAGGGGGACAGTAGTGGGACAATGGTGGGGAGAGGGGGGACAGTGAGACACTGGTGGGGGCACTGGTGGGGACAGCGGGGACAATGGTGATAACATCGGGGACAGTGGGACAGCAGTGTGGACTGTGGGACAGTGGTGGGGACAGTGGTGGTGGGGAAAGTGGTGTGGGGACAGTGGGACAGAAGTGGGGACAGTGGTGGGGACAGTGGGACAGTGGTGGGGACAGTGGTGGTGGGGACAGTGGTGGTGGGGACAGTGGTGAGGGCGGTGGCGAGGGCGGTGGTGGGATGGAATGGGACAGAGGTGCAGTCGGGACAGTGGTGGGGACTGTGGGGACAGTGGTGGGAACAGTGGGACAGCTCAGTGGGACAGCGGGACAGTCGGGACAGTGGGACAGTGGTTGGGACCGTGGGGAAAGTGGGGACAGTGGGACCGTGGTGGGAACTGGTGGGGACAGGGGGGACAGTGCGACAGTGCTGGGGGCATTGGTGGGGACAGTGGGGACGGTGGTGGGAACAGTGGGGACAGAGGTTGTGAGGACAGTGGTGCTGGGGACAGCAGTGGGGGATGTGATGCGGACGGTGGTAGGTGGTAGGGACCCGGGAGTCGTTTGCCGGCGGTGAGTGTGGGGGGTGCAGCAGGGGAGCATCTGTACAGCAGTGCCAAGGTGTTTTACATTTTACTGCGTTGCCTCGCTCAGATGTTTTGATTTTTGTTGGAAGAGTGAAGACCCGTAATCGGGGACGCGGTGGGTTGTTCATTGCTAGTAGCATTGTTAGAAATATTTGGAAGTAGTGAATATGCTTTGCAGTATGGCGGCATACGTAGTACTCGTAGTAGTATGGCGACGGGCGGTGACCAGGCGGACACCCAGGGAACCGCACCAGCGCTCGAGGCGGCGACACGGCGGTGACGGGCGGCGACCGAGTGAAGACCAGGAGAAACCAGCCTGCACACAGCGGCAACGGGCGTTGACCGATCGAATACCAGGGGAAGCCAGCCAGCGGCGACGAGGCGTCGGCGAGCGGGAGAGCCTAGCACACGCTAGGCAAGTCGGCCACAGTGTCGGAGAGGGAGTGCAACGTTGGGAAGCCCAGCCAGCACACGAGGCGGCGACGGGCAGGGGCGAAAATTTGCGGCACCTGGCCATCACACGAGGTGGCCATGAAGGAGGGGGGCGGCGGTACGCGTGCGAGCGGAGTCTCGAAAGCATGTCGAAGCGCATCAGATTTGAAGCCGCAGCTAAAGCTGAGCTGCACATGAAGGGAACGGCCCACCTAGCAGGCTCGGTGGTCTGCATCGTGAAGCGGTGCTGCAGCCCTCTGGGAGCACATGCCCCCTCCGCAGCAGCCAGACAAGTCGGGTTTGGACCTTCAGGCCTTGCGGAACTCCGGGCGTATATTGGCATTGCTACTGCTGCTGCCACCCCCTCGGGTGACGGCGACAGAGGCGATGCGTTGACGATGAGGCGGCGACGTGCGGCGAACGCGCGCAAACTTGGAGAACTATCCAATTCAACTTGACAAAGCAAGCAAGGACCTCTCTATGCAAAGCGTGGTCTTGGGGATCAAGTTTCGTCGTCGTCAAGGATCTTCGAAGGGCCCCCGATCGTTTGCAACAGTTGTTTGAGTTGCTTTGGAGGTTTTCGAAGCTTCTCGGAACCTCCCATCCTCTCTTTTCGCTCCTCCTCCTCCTCCTCCTCCTCCTCCTCCTCCTGTAGCGTCGACGAAGGCCCCGCTCCGATACAAGAAGTCCGCGTGGATCTCCGAACGTTTACTGGACTCCAGCAGGCACAACAGATCTGATGCTAGCCTGCCAGCAGGTTCTCCACACTACCCTCTTCTTCTCCGATGGCCCTGGGGACCCGCAGAAGCCTTCAGGCCCCCGGATCGTCGACCGACGTACCCCTAGATCTCTGACGGCAGCTCCCGGAGATCCGACGTCCTGAGTTTTTCAGGACGGGGACCCCGAAACACCTGGACCGGTTCCCCATGGGCCGATTCGCCAGCCTGAGCAATTTCTGGGCGACCTCCTGTCCCGAGGGCTGCCCAGCAGGGGCAGAAGATGGTGAAAAAAGCCTCCCGGCGCGATGTAAAATCATGCCGGCAGGAGCCTGGGTCGAATGCCGCTGCATGGGCCCAACCAGGCAAGTTGGGGCTGTCAGATCGACAGGAAAGAGCTTCCGACCGCTTCGCACACCCTGCAACCTCCGGCCGCTGGGCGAAAAGCGTGCTGGGGCGTCCCGCGAATCCCGCCTCGTGTCTCCGACGAGCGACGACTGCGTGCCGCGGCCGCCGGCGGGGTGGCAGTGCTCCCCGGGGATCCCGCCTCGCGTTCTCGGATGGGGGTCGCTCGGAGTACAGTCGGGTCGCTGAAGAAGGAACCCTTTTCGTTGGGGAGGGGCTCCGGGTTCCTGAAGTGTTTCACAGCTTGCCTCAGGTTTCCCTCGTGCTTTCGACGGGAAATCGCAGTTTGACCCATGGAAAAAAGGGGCCTCGTCCCTTATTTCGGGTTCCTTGGTCAACGCCCCGACTGTACGGTGTTGTTCTGCAGTCAGGAGGAAAAGAAACACACAGACACAATTAATCCTCGATTCCATCGAAAATATGGGAAAATATGGGAAGTGGGGGGGAAGACAGAAACCCAGAACATTTGCGGAAATATGGGGAACATGTTTATTTGTGCGTATTTATTTGTGTGTCCTGTGGCCCCTTCATACAGGTGGCCGCCGTGATCTCCTCTGGGGCGGGGGGGGCGCTGGTGGGGCTGCTGTCGTCGCCGGGGCTGCAGCAGCTCCCGGAGCTCTGCGGCGAGACCCTGTGCGCCCTCAGCAGCTTCGCGAGCGACAGCACGGCCATCCCCGGCGGCGCGCACGGGGGTGTGGGCACGAGGGCCCAGGCCTCCCACGCATCGAACCAATTCCGGTGCGTGAGGTTATCGCCCCCTGGACGTTTTTCGGAGGTGCTGCTGGTGCTCGGCGGTCTTCCAGCCTCGGGGTGCTTTCCAGCAGCTGCGCCTCGCCGAGGGCGTTCCGGGGGTGCCTGGACCGTCGTGGGCGACCGCCGGGGAGCCGAGTTACGACCCTAAAGATCATTGCTGTTGCCGTGGCCAAGTCTCGACGGGAGGTTTTAGATGTTTTGTTTGCTCAGGGGACATTCGCCGAGCCCTGGGACAGTCAAAACACGACTCGGGATGAAAATCCGGACGTGGTGAAAGGCTCAGGACTTCCGGGGACCCAGCATTGAAAACATCGAGACGTCGGATCTTTGGGGTGGCGGCCTCCTCTGAGAAGGCAGGGGGGGCTTCTTAGAAACTCTATTGGGAAGCCTTCATAGAAGCCCTTGGGCCCATTCTACGAAGCCCCCCGCCCTCCCGACCTCTTAGGATACAGCCCCCCTCCCACCACCCCCTTGTGCGCGCCGCCAACATCCGCGACCATCTGTTGCAGGTGGGAGTGATCGAGGCCCTGGACGGACTGCTCGGTTGCAACGCCAGTGGATTTCAATTCAGCATCGGCGGTGATATGTCTGGAGTCGAAGACCTTCCTAATCGGGCCTGGTCCCAACTACTGACTTGTCAGGCGCAATCGCGCCCAATCCACCTTCATTTTGTGTTCAATCTGGCTTAATCTGAGTCAATGGCGCGGCAATCGTGCTTCATAGATACTGATCGTTCCTACGAATCGGCGAAGAAATCCTTGCATACCCAAACACTCGGCAGTCCACGCGGACCGTCGGAAGTTTGGGTATGTGCCGTGTTTGTTTCTTCCACGAACGACGACCTCCCATAAGCTTCCCCCGATCGACTTCGAGCAGACTCAGGACGCGTGTTAGCCCAATGCGTGCCAGCTTCGCTGGTCGCACGCAGCCGGTGCTGGCCCGCATTGCACAGCCCGCGTCGCAATACGTTTGGTTGCTTCGGTGGACAACCACACGCTGGCGGTAACACACGGTCAGAGGATCATCGAGTTGTGTCATCGTCAGGTTGTTCCTCATCCTGCCTTCGCCCCAATGCAACAGACGATATGATGCTGTACATTCGCTGCCCCATCGCGACCACTTTCCCGGGCTTAGTTCTTCGTCCCTGATCCGTGGTCGATGGCAGAGGGGCCCGACGGTGGTGCTTAGAGGACGAGTTCGATGACGATCGCAGAACATCTGGGCTTCCTTCTGAGGCAGTGGAGACGCGACTTGACCTGCCTTTACCTAGGTCCACCAGGATTAGCTCTAGAACGTCAATGCTGATGTAGGTGTGTCGTCATCTCCCCTGGTGTGTGAAAAGGGCACCGTTTTTGTGCTTGGGGCACTCCTGTTACTTACGAACAAGTGCGAGGCAGGCTCACACAGAAACTCCGGAACGGTCGGCCTCTGCCCAAAAACAGCTCCTCGCCCTGCCCCCCACCTCAGGACTCTATGGGGCCATGCAGGAGGCGCCCTGGGGCCCGGCCCCGCGGCTGACGGTGCTCCGCGCGCTGACGCGCCTGGCCCGCGTGCTCTGCTGCGGCGCCCCGCCGCCGCCGCCCGAGGACCGGCCCGCGCGTGGGGGGGGGCCCCCCGCCAGGGTGACCCGGCCGGCGCGGGCCGGCGGGCCCGCGGAGGGTCGCCTTTCGCGCCGCCTCGGGGCGGCCCTGCGGTGCGGAGCCCGTCCGGCGCGTGGGCCCCTCTTCTGCCTCCGAGGGGGCGGCCGGGAGGGCTCAAAAGTGCAGGGTTCGGGGGAGCGTAAGACCCGGGTTTGCCAGGACTCGGGTTCGCCATCGTTTTTTGACGACCGCGCCTCGGATTTTGACGAGGAGGAGTTTCGTGGGATGTCTGCAGCGGGAGGCCTCGTCAAAATGCAGGCTCGGCCTCGTCATTTTTTTGACGACCTCGTCGGGGATTTCCGAGTCCCCTGTACCCAGGTCTTACGTCCCCCTGAAGGGTGCTGGCGGGAAGCTTGCGGGCAATAGTTATATCCACATCCCGTGCGTCTTGGTTTCCTGGGCTCTCTTCCCCCCAAAATCCGTAGACGCACTGGATATGGATAAAAATCTGGCCCCAAGAGGCTTGATTTTATCCATATCCAGTGCGCCTCGGCGTTGCGGCACCTCTTCCCAAAAAGTCCACGACGCTCTGGATATGGATATAAGTAGTGCCCGCAAAGCTCTCCCGCGCGGCGGTCGGGGGGGCTCCATCTCGAGTCCCTTCGGCGGCCGAACGGGCTCAGGCGCCACATGGGCTCCGAAGCAGGCCCCCAGTCCGTGCAGGCCCACATGTGGTCACTCAGCCCGGGCCTGCGCGCTGGGATGTGGCCCCCCACGCGGTCCGCTATAAAGCCTGGCACATCCTCCCTCCTCCCTCCTCCCTCCTCCCTCCTCCCTCCTCCTCCCTCTCCCTCCTCCTCCTCCCTCCTCCTCCCCCCTCCTCCTCCTCCCTCCTCCCTCCTCCTCCCTCCTCCTCCTCCCTCCCCTCCTCCCTCCCCCCTCCCCCCTCCTCCTCCTCCTTTCCTCCCTCCTCCCTTCCTCCTCCCTCCTCCCTCCTCCCTCCTCCCTCCTCCCTCCTGTCATGTTTGCTTGTTGTCAACAGGAGGTCGACTGCATGTTCGACTACTTCTTCCAGGTCTGCCGCGCTCCTCGGGCGCAGCTTCCTGGGGGACAGGGTCAGGGGGTTCGGAGCTGGCCCTTTTGGGGCATTTCCGTCGGTGCTCGGCCGTTTTCTGGCCTCGGGGTGCTTTCCAGCAGCTGCGCCTCGCCGAGAGCGCTCGGGGTGGGCCCAGATCGTCCCGAACCCGACTTGCGTGGAATTCAGACCTTTTTTTTTGGCGTCGCCACGCTCCGCACCCCTCCTCCCTCCATGCAAACAATCCTGTCGTAGTCTGAAGAATCATGGGCTCTAGGACGATGCCGCCTCTGCCTGCCGAAGGCCGGCGAGGGCCTGCGCAAATGAGGGATGCCTCCCCGTCAATGATGTCACATGTTTTGGGGCTCAGGGCTTGTTATAAGAGCCCGCCAGGTGGTGAACGAGTGCGAGGACCCGAGGGAGTAGAAGACGGCATGCGCCCCCGCGACTGCCCCGCCAGCGCCAGCGAGGGAGGGGAGGAGGAGGAGGAGGAGGAGGAGGAGGAGGAGGAGGAGGAGGAGGAGGAGGAGGAGGAGGAGGAGGAGGAGGAGGAGGAGAGGGAGGAGAGGGAGGAGGCGGAGGAGGAGGAGGAGCGGAGGGGGAGGGGGAAGGGGGGAGGAGGCGGAGAGGAGGAGGAGGAGGTGGGAGGAGGAGGAGGAGGGAGTAGGAGGGAGGAGGAGGAGGAGGAGGAAGGAGGAGCGAGTTGGAGGAGGAGGAGGAGGAGGAGGAGGAGGAGGAGGAGGAGGAGGAGGAGGAGGAGGAGGAGGAGCGGGAGGAGGAGGAGGAGGAGGAGGAGGAGGAGGAGGAGGGGAGGGGAGGAGCGGCCAGGCCGTGGGAGGACCTCGCGGACATCTCGGGGCGGCGTTGGGCTCCTCTGCGTCTCCGGCCTCCGGCCGCGCCCCTGTGGCGCCCCGCCCCTCGCACGCTCCGCGCGTCGGGGAGAGGGGGATGGGGGAGGGGGAGGAGGAGGAGGAGGGAGGAGGATGTGGAGGAGGAGGAGGAAGGAGGAGGAGGAGGAGGAGGAGCTTGAGGATCGAGGGGGGGAGGAGGGGAGGGGGGGAGGGGGAGAGAGGGGAGGAAGAGGAGGAGGAGGAGGAGGAGGAGGAGGAGGAGGGAGGGGAGGAGGAGGAGAGGAGGGGAGGGGGGAGGGAGGAGGAGGAGGGGAGGAGGAGGGGGGTGGGGGAGGGGGAGGGGGAGGAGGAGGAGGGAGGGGGAGGAGGAGGGGGAGGGGGGGAGGGGGAGGAGGAGGGGGAGGGGGGAGGGGGAGGGAGGAGGAGGAGGAGGAGGAGGAGGAGGGGAGGAGGAGGAGGAGGAGGAGGAGGAGGAGGAGGAGGGGGAGGGGGGGGGAGGAGGAGGGGGAGGAGGAGGGGGAGGGGGAGGGGAGGGGGAGGATGAGGAGAGGAGGAGGATAGGGGTAGGGGAGGGGGGGGGGGGGCTCGGCGTCGACCCTCAGAGCACTCCGCGCGCGGGCCCCGGAGCGTCTGTGCTCGTGCGGCCCCCTCTTCCAGAGCCAACCCGCCGTGGGCATCGGCCTTGCGGTGGATGTGCGCATGGCTCGGGCCCTGCGGAGGGCCACGCGTGTCTCTATTTGGGCGCCCGAGTTATCCGGGGTAACTCGGGTCCAGGGTAACTCGAGTTTGGATTCCCGAAAAAGGGACCCGAGTTAGCCCTGACCCGAGTTACCCCTGATGATGTGGGGCTCTGGACGCCCGAGTTATCCGGGGTAACTCGGGTCCGGGGTAACTCGGGTTTGGATTCCCGAAAAACGAACCCGAGTTAGCCCTGACCCGAGTTACCCCTGATGACTCGGGGCTCTGATCTATGTCTACCGCCTGCCGAGGCCCGCGAAGATCGAGCCCCCGGGCGGTGGCAACGGATAAATCGATCCCCGTCTCGCTCTCGGTGTGACGAGGGCGGGCGTCCAGCGCCGATCCGCTCGGACCTCCGACAGCTGTTGTGTCGACTGCACGTAAGAGTGACCTTTCGCCCGAGTGACTTTTGGTGCAGGCCCAACGAGCTCCTTCGATCGCTGAGTGCGAAGCGGTAGCAGCGGTTTGCGCGCCTGGGATTGGCCACCCCGCGTCCCCCGTCAAGCCGCGCACCAAAGGTCACTCTTACCCAAGATCACTCTCACTCTTACGTGGAGCCGCCTTTTTATTGTTCGTGCAAGGTCCCTGCCTGGCATCTCTGTCATTTGCTAAAGAGTCGGGTGTTGCTAGAAGTGCTCCTGGCCCGAGGTGCCCCCAGGATTCCCAGGGAGGCCCCAAGGGCCTCCAGAGCACTCCTCACAAGCCCCAGAGGGTCCCATAAGCGTCAACATGGAGCGAAAAGCTTGAGTCACCCTGCGCCAGGGTCACCACTACACCCATCACAAATCATAAGAGAAAAACCATCAACGTTCAAGGACTCCGGATCTCGTTCCAGGAGCCAAGAATTCGGTCTGGACCCTGGGCGTTTTGTGGAGATCCTTTTCTTCGTGAGCTGTTCGTAGATCTGTACCTGGACTACTGGTTGAGCAAACGCCTCTGTTGGCGCAGCGTTTCCCTAACTCCAAGCAGGGGTTCTGCAACTCCCGAACGAGGACCCCGACATGCGCAGCGACGCGGTGTCGGGCCTCCAGCACCTCCTGGGGAGCTCCCCCGACCGCGAGGGCGGCGGGCACTCGCTGGAGAGGCTGCTCGCTGCCGGCTCCCCCGCAGAACTGCGGGGCCTGGCCGCGCAGGTTGGCAGCACAGCGCCTGCGAGCCAGGCGCGCGCGATGCACCGGCCTCCCCTGGGCGCGGGCGACCGAGAGCCCGGAAAAACAGCACGACGGCAGGTTTTTCGCTATCTGCGGCCTCCGGGGGCCGTCCAAAACGACTCGGGATGAAAGGACTGTTCCCGTGGTAGGGGTTCAGACCTCCGGGGGGCGGCGTCGTGGAAAAATCACCACTACGTCCGGGGTCTGGGAACATGTTTGTCCATATCCATTGCAGCTTGGAGTTTCGGGCGCCCTTTACAATCTCGCCGAGATATTCCCTCAGGGGGGGCTTCCATCGAAGTCGAAGAGGGCGAGTATGGAGGCCTTGTGAATCATGCACCGCGAGCGTATCAAAGCGAACAGTATTGAAACGCATGTTGTTACTGTCGTTGAGTTTACTTTCTACAACAGACGTTCTTGATCCCAAATTCCCGGTGCACAATGTGTTTTCAAGTGAAATGCTCCTCCTGGGGCTCGGGAAGGTCTTGGTCCTCAAACTGTGCCCCTGCTCCCCAGATTACAGCAACGACGACGACGATAACAGCAACGGCTCCCGCCTGATACGTCCTTCGATATATTTCAAATTCGCGCTCTCGCCTTTTCCCTCCCCATTGTAGGGGCTGCGCAAACCACACGCGTCAGGCAGGGACACTATACCCCCAAGGGGAGCACGAACGAAGATGAGGAGGGCGGGTATCAAGGGTTTGAGATATACGTGTTGAAGGGCACGCGAGCACAGAAGGTCGCACAGTCTGAAAATGACTGTTGCTGTTGCTGCTACTGTTGCTGGTGTTGTCGTCGTCCTCACCCGCGACCCACCCTGCGACCCACCCGCGACCCACCCTGCGACTTACCGCGCGACCAACCCCGCGACCCACCCCGCGGCACACCCGCGAGCCGCTCCGCGTCCGCCCCCCTACTCTTGTACGCAGCTGCGGCGTGCTACCGATAGCATATCTACATAGACATGCTATATATATATGTATCGGAGTGAGGGGGCCGAACGGTCACTCGTTGCCCGTGGTGAGGATTATTTTTGTTGCGTTGCTGTTGTTGCTATTGTTGCTGTTTTTGCTGCTGTTGCCGTTGCTGTTGCTGTTGTTGTTATTGTCGTCGTCGTCGTCGTTGTTGTTGTTATTGTTGTTGTTGTTGTTGTGGTTGTGGTTGTGGTTGTGGTTATTGTTGTTGCTGCTGCTTATGCTGTTGTTGTTGCTGTTGTTGTTGTTGTTGTTGCTGCTGTTGTTGTTGTTGTTGTTTGTTGTCGTCGTCCCCCCCGCGATCCTCCCGCGACCCACCCCGCGACCCACCCCGCGACCCAACCGCGACCCAACCCGAGACCCACCCGCGATTTACCCCGCGGCCCACCCGCGACACACTCGTGACCCAACCGCGACCCACCCCGCGACCCATCCGCGACCCGCTCGCGACCCACCCGCGACCCACTTGCGACCCACCCGCGACCCACCCCGCGGCCCACCCGCGACACACCTGCGAACCACCCGCGAACCACCCGTGACCGATCCACATGGGTTTTAAAAATCGGCGCTTGCGGCGGGCTCGTTGTATGATTTGTAAAACTTTGGCGCCTGCGGCGGGCTTCTCCAGAGTCTCGCGGACTGCCGACGTCCCCACCGCCCCCTCACTCCTATCCGCACCTGCGGGGTGCTACGTAAATTTTGACATCGTTATAGATACAGCGCCGGTTTTCATACATGCTCCGCGTGCGGATCATGTATTAAACATGCAGGGGCCTATTAGTAAATACAAGGATGAGTTCATGCATACATGTATTCATAAATTAACTATGACACCCTCTGTTTTTTAAGAATCCTATTTATCAAAAGCTGCCCTGTATGCCGATCGGTGGCACTGGGGCCCCGATCGCCAACCCGCGCGTTCCTTGAGCCTGGCCAGGCGCCGCGCTTCGACGAGAACTGCCCGGGCGCCGGCAACGGCGGCGCACCGCTCCACGCCGTCGGCAAGGCCCCGGTGGTCGGACTCTGCGGCTCCCCCCGCGTGGGCGGCGGCTGAGCGCACTGCCTGCCGCCGCAGGGCGCGCTCGCGGTCGGGGAGGGCTGTGCCGGGCACGGGGCACCGGCAGGGGGGGATGGGCACCGGCCTCTTCCCCCTCATCCTCCTCCTCCTCCTCCTCCTCCTCCTCCTCCTCCCCCTCATCTTCCTTCTCCTCCTCCTCCTCCTCCTCCTCCTCCTCCTCCTCCGCCTCCTCCCCCTTTTTTGCTCTCGTCTCCTCCTCCTCCTCCTCCTCCCCTCCTCCTCCTCCTCCTCCTCCTCCTCCCTCCCTCCTCCTCCCTCCTCCTCCACTCCCTCGCCCCTCCTCCCCTCCTCCTCCTCCTCCTCCCTCCTCCTCCCTCCTCCTCCTCCTCCTCCTCCTCCTCCTCCTCCTCCTCCTCCCTCCTCCTCTCCTCCTCCTCTCCTCCTCCTCCTCCTCCTCCTCCTCCTCCTCCTCCTCCTCCTCCTCCTCCTCATCCTCCTCAACCCTCTTCCTCCTCGTTTCTCCTCCTCCTTCTCCTCCTCCGTCGTCCTCCTCCATTCCTGCTCCTTAGAATAATTCCTCCCAGTCGCACCCCGAGTCGTGTCCGTAGGGCGGTCAGGGCGTTTCGTTTGAGACGCCCTCACCAAGTATGATCCTGAAGCTAAATATTCGCAAGAGCTTCACGGATGGAGGGCGGGTCGTTTTCAAATGTTGTTCTCGCTTTAGCGTCGCGCACCGTTGCTTCCAAAGCTTGCAAGAGCATCACGGGTGGAATGCGAGCCGTTGTCAAATGTTGTTCTCGCCTTAGCGCCGCGAACATTCTTTTCAACGATTTGCAAGAGCTTCTCGGATGGAGGGCGAGTTGTTTTCAAATTGAGGTTCTCGCCTTAGCGCCGCGAACATTCGCTTCAAACGTGCAAGAGCTTCACACGGATGGAGGACGGATCCTTTTCAACATGTGGTTCTCGCCTTAAACCGCGAACGTTCGTTTCAACGATTTGCAAGAGCTTTCCGGATGGAGGGTGGATCCTTTTGAACATGTGGTTCTCGCTTTAGCGCTGCGCACATTCCTTTTCAGAGTTCACAGCGGTTTTAAGGAATAGAATAGCTAGCGCCCCAGAAATGGTGTCGTGGCACGATGTCTTGACGTCAGAGCGCAACAGTCACGTCGATTAGCGGTGTTGGAATCCCAGGAATGGCGTTCTGGCACGATTCAGGATCGTCAAGGCACAACCGTAATGGTGATTCCCGGCGTTGCAGTCCCAGTAAGGGTGTCCTGGCACAGTGCATGATTTTCAGTCGGGCCGTTTTGTCGGTTCCCCGTTATCTTTTCCAGCGCCGGGGTGATCTGCAGCAACGGCGCCTGGCCGAGAGCGTTCCAGGGGGCGCCCGCCTCGTCCGAACAGCCGCCAGGGAGCCGAGTTATGACCCGAAGGCCAAGGGGGCCAGCTCCAGGGGGAAACTTCGACCTGCACTCGACCCGGAAAGCGTTGGACCGTCCAGCGACGGGTCAGGACGAAGTGCTGGTCCCGAGGAAGCGGTCTAAACCTGCGTTGATGGGGCAACGATCTAGGGGGTATTATTGGGGCGGGGGGGCGGGAAACTCCGACGTGGCCCGGCGCCGGAGGCAGACGAGGCTCAGCGGGGGGAGGCGTGGACCCCCAGTCGCCCATTCATCGCCGATCGGGGCTTGATATCCCCACCCTGCCCAGGAGCACCTGGCCTCGTGTTCCGATCCAGCGTTGATGTGTCGCCGATCTGAGCTCGGTGCTTCCCGCCCTGAGCTTTGGGGGAACGAAGAGTGGCACACGCATAAAAACTCGGAGGTCCGCGCGGATTTCTCGGATCGGCGCTGGACCCCCCTCCATGGCGCACGGAGCGCGCCAGGGGCGGCGCCCCAGGCGCCGTCGGGGGGGGGGGGCCAGTGACGATCCGAGAATCCGCGCGGACTTGCTGGTTTTTCTGTCTATGTCACTATTTGTTCCCCTAGAGCGTTCAGGCTTCGCGCGGCCCGCGTAGCTTCGACCGGAGGAGGTGCGCTCTCGACCCGCGAATCAAACATTTGTTCCCCTGGAGCCAGTCCCCCCCCCTCACTCGGTGGTCCCCAAACGTGGTGGTGAGAACACCCGGTGGTGAGTTTTGGGCGATTTGGGTAATGGTTTTCGAGCGCTGGCTGGCCCAGGAAACGCAAAACCTCGTGGCGACCGCGTGTCCCCAAACCCAGTGGCGACCCAGAATTATTCTTTTGGGGAATCGGGGTCACCACCGGGTGTCTCACCACCTGGTTTGGAGACCACCAACTCACTGTCGGTCCCCGTTTGTCCCCCCTCGGCTGGGCATCGGGCCTGGGCTCCATGGAAGGGAGCCGGAGAAGGGCCCGTCGAGACAGCGGCTTTCCCAGAGGCCAGCAACATATGTACGCGTACGCGGTAAGTTTCCCCTGGAGTGCGTGTCCACGCGGACCTTCGTGCAGGCAAGACCGCGGAAGGCGTACATGTACATATGTCGTGGCCCCCCTTCCCCCCCCCCCCCGGGCGTGTCTCGCCTCGGGGGCCTCTCGTCGCGGCGCTGGCCCCACCTCGAAAAGCGGGTCAGGATCCAGGAGGAGGAAACACGCACAGACACAATTCGTCGTCGATCCCCAGGAGAAAATGGGAAAATGTGGGAAGTGGGGGGGAAGACGAACACCCAGAAAATATACGAGAAAATATGGGGAAATCCTTTTTTTTGTGTGTATTTCTTTTTGTGTGTCCCAGGACCCCTTCAGGGATGCATTCCTGCAGGGGTCCTGGGCCCGGTGTGTGGGGCGCGTGCGGGCCAAGGGGGAGAGCCGCCGTTGTCTCGAGTGGCGGTCCTCCCAGAGAAGCAGGAGGAGGAGGAGAAGAAGAAGAAGAAGAAGAGGGGGAGGAGGAGGAGGAGGAGGAGGAGGAGGAGGAGGAGGAGGAGGAGGAGGAGGAGGAGGAGGAGGAGGAGGAGGAGGAGGAGGAGGAGGGAGGAGGAAGCGCAGGAGCGCAGGTGTCGTAATTCGCAGGTCCAGTGCCCCTGGTCCTGCGGACTGGCTTGCAGAGCCTCTCGTGCAGCCCTCTGAGCTGCGAGAGGCCGCATGAGCTGTTAGGACAATAGCTGAAGTAGGACGCGGGACGCTGCAATTCAGAGCTTAGGACCGATATAGCTGTGCATGTCCACGCCGCTGTGTGTACACAGGCCCCCTGCGTACAGAATTCGTTGCCTGATGTGGTGCCATGAGATTCGCGCCGCAGCGCGGCGAAGCTCCACAATAGTTGGTCGGATTTGCTTGTCTGCATTGGTCGCAGCCGTGTGTGACAGCAAAGCAATGAAATTAGATGCATGCACTCCTTACTCTCCTCATAGTGGGACCTGCCATGCTGCCCGCGCCGGCACCCGGGCCCCCCTGCGAAGAGTCGCAGCAAGGCTCGGGCCGACCGCTGGATGCAGCGCACTCCGAGCCCCGTGGTGCACTGACGGCGTTGCCGCACGTTTCGTGGCCGCGCCAAGTTAGCTGTACCATTCCGGAGGAGTCGAAGACAACCGGGCGCTTGAGGGGGCCCGTGCGCGCTGCCCAGGCTCCAAACCCCAAAGACCAGGGTTGGATTTCCGACTTTGTCATTGAGCGGCTTGCACGCGCAGTTGTTCAGTGAAGCGTGCACGAGGTAATTAGAGGGCATAACATGCAGCGAATGTTGCGCTGAGGTCATCAGTGGCACCAGCCATCCACGAGCCGCCTGCACCTGCCAACGCGACAATTCACAGGTCCGCTTTGCACTGCCGAGCGAGGCTGGGACAAAAAGCGAGCGCGAAGGCATCTCGATCGCCATGCGAAGGGCCCTGACACTGCGCCAGCGGCTGCCGGCACAGGTTCAACGCGCAGAAGAACCGCCTGCTGGCCAAAGTCGCCGTCGACCTCCTGAAGCAGGCCGCGACTGGCCGCCGAAGCACGCGCCGCCGACGGGCCCCCCGCCACTTCTCACACGTCCGACGTCGTGTGCGTATGTGTTTTGTCTGATATACGCGGCCCCCCAGAGGTCTACACCCATGCCCCGGGAGTGGCTTCTCGTCCCGGGCCGTTTTCAGGACGTCCAGGGGCCTGGTGAGGGCCCTGGAGGCCGCAAATCGGGGCGGGGAGGGGGGGGAGCCTGTCATGGTCTTGTTGGACGGGTTGTGCACTCCCCCACTGGGCGTCTGGAGGCTCCAGGCGCGCGGGGTCCTGCGGAGGCCTGCAGGGCCCGCCAGAGCACTCGGCGGGGACCGTTCGAGACCTCAGCCGCCTCGACACGGCCGTTCTGCGACGCAGCACGTGCCGTTCTCAAATCGTACGTATCGATACCGGCAACCCGCATAGCAAGGACGAGCGACTCTCCAAGGTTACCCTTGCGTCCCTCCTCTTCGGCCAATCCTTGGCCGCTCTCGCTGGCCGCGCCCCGCTCGCAGAGTGTCGGCATGGCCTTCCAAGGCCACTGCGTCCTTACCGCGCATCCTGATGAGGCGAGTTGACTGCACGCTGCGTGTAGGCTCAAGGTATCGGCCCACGATTTGGCGAACGTGCCGCGTCAGACCTGCGTGTTCGGTCTACGCGTTGACTTCCGTACAAGTACGCGACGTGCTGCGTGCTGCGTGAACGGGGCAGCGAAGCTCGAGACCTGCACGGGGCCGCAGGCTCGTGACTGGCGTGGCCTTTTCTCCGGGCAAGCCTGCCCTGGCCGACCCGGTCTGCGTGCGCGCGTGCGCTCGCCAACTGCCCCAGCAGCTCTGCGCGCGGGCTGGGCCGCTCGCTCATGGGCGTGCTGCGAGGCGGTGCCGCTTGTCTTTGTGTATCTCATCTGTGCCCTGGTTTCCGGGCCCCAGAGTGACTGGGCCGTGGGCGCCCTTTCCACGGTTTGGGCTCTCCCCCTCAAGGGCTGGGGCTTGCGTTTCTCGTTCTGCGTTGTCCAGTGCTCGGTCCGAAATTCCCAGGGTTGCGACACCGACCGTTGCTCAGCGCTTTCAGCACTCAACATGAGAACTCAAGACGCTGCAGGAGCGCTTCTGGTTTCAGCGTTTCCAGGCGTGCTGATCTACATCGTCGGAGGCCGCCGCGGACGGGCCGTCGGGTTGCAGGCCTGTTTCGCACAGGTGTCCGACAGGCCTGTCAGCTCTGCGCTGGAAAACGAGTTTCAGCCCCCTCCCCGTTTATAGATACCCGTAGCACCCCGCAGTTGCGGATAAAAGTGGGGGGGGACGGGCGCGGGGTGAGTCGCGAGTGGGTCGCGGGCGAGTCGCGGGTGGGTCGCGGCTAGGTCGACCGTGGGTCGCGCGTGGTTCGAGGGTGGGTCGCAGGGTGGGTCGCGGGAGGGTCGATGAGTGGGTCGCGGGTGTGTCGCGGGTGGGTCACGGGCCACATCGCGGGCGGGACGACGACAAAACACAACAGACAACAAGCAACAAGAAACAAGCACGAAACAACCAACAACCGACAACCAACAACACACAACAAACAACAACACCACCAACAAAAACAGCAATCACAACAACACCAGCAACAGCAAGAACAACAGCAGCAGCAACAGCAACAGCAGCGACAACAGCACCGACATGAACAACAACGTCAACAACACCAGAAGCAACAACAACAACAACAACAACAACAACAACAGCAACAATCCGCACCCCGCGGAAGCTCACTTCTGCCACGCACACAGGGACAATGAATGACCATTCGGGCCCTCATTCTGAGGGCGAAACAGCAATCTCAACACCCAGCGCAGTTTTACAACGTTGGATGCAACTGTGTTGCTTGAACGCGATTTCTGATTGCAAATTGCCACAGGGTTGAACACGTCAACAAATAAGGCTAGGGCGGCATTCATGATGAACCGAGCTGATGGTTATGCCTCGAACTCGATTCGGGCACAATGTCATGTCTCCTCCTTCACTCATCTTTTGAAGCCTTGCATGGCCTCTCACTCGCGACCGGTCCGGGAGCTTTTGGACTTGGCAGGCTTAGCTCCGGCCCAGGGGGCGACTTCGGAGCAACCCCTGGCGCTCTGTCGCGATCCGGACCCAGACCCCCCTCGCGTCGTAGACGGAAACGTGACGTGCAGTGGCTTGCTATGCTTTTTCTCCAGAGGCCCTCACCAGCCCCTGGGACCATCACAAGTATAGTAAGGATGCAGAGCAGATCGTGGGCAGGGGTCCAGGACTTCGTGGGTCCACGTCGCGGAAAAAAAACATCACGACGCCGGGGGTCCAGGGAGGGGCCTCCGAGCCCTCACGCCAACGAGGATCAGGTCACCTGCTGTTCGGTGACCGCCGCGCGGGGCTGCTCACGGCACTCTGACGACGCCAGCCGTCCGCCCGTGCGGCGGCGCGCACGACTGGAAGGAGGAGCTGAGGGAGGGGGCGCTACAACAGATCGGCCACGCGAGGTCCAGTTGGCGCACGCTCACAGGGCTCAGTTCTGTCCGACCGATCCGATCCGATACCGACTCTGGCCAGCCCGCCCGATCCGATTTGACACCTTTACTTTGATCACCCGATGCGGCGCGATCCTCCCGGCGCACCCGATCCGATTCGATCTCGACTGTGTGCCGATGCAGCCCGATCCGATGCACATGTCGATTCCGCCAGGTCTCCCGCTTCGAGGCTGACGGACCCTGCACTCGGGGGCCAGGTCGGCTCGTGATGCCACATCTCTATGGCTCTTCTCACTCGTCGCCGCCCCAACGCAGCTTCCCCGGCGCCGCGTTGTTGCCGCCAGGTGGAGAAGCGGCGAGACATCCGGCTAGTGCACGTAAAGGGCCCGACCGGGGTGAAGCAGAGGCAGAATCGGTCTGGCGTCCTTGCAGCATGTATCGAGAACGTGGGCTTTCGGATGGGCTCTCCGGGATGTCTCGTCGTTGCCTCTCCCTCCTCCTCTTCCTCGTCCTCTTTCTCCTCGTGTTGCCTCTTGCCCTTCCCTTCAGTTTATAGGGGCATTGCTCAGAGCACGAGATGGTAGACCCCTGTGCTTCAGTTCGCCGGTTGCAGCCCGCTGTGTTTGTGCGAGGGCCTGTGTCGAAGGTCCTTGAAGTTTTGTGCCCATTGTCCAGAGACGAGTTCCAGACCTCGTCTGGCCCCAAATCCTCCTCCATGACACCAGGCCAGAAGACCACAGACACAGTTGCGGACGGCTGGCTTCCAGAAGCGCCTGGGCAGCTGTCCACGCCATTCGGGGACTCTTTTGGCTACGTGTACGAGTGACCCTTCGGTGGGGTGATCTGTAGTGCGGGCCCAAGGGATACCCCAAAGCACTGGCTCCCGCGCTTGGGCTTGGCCCCCTGAGGCCGCACACCAAAGGTCACTCGTCCCTGGGACTCTTGCGCGTGTGGTCGGCTCTTGGGCTGCTCCCTGGGTCTCCAAGAAGACCCGAGGGACCCCACGATCGCCGAAATTGGCCGAGGTTGGCCCCGACAGGGCTTCACTGGCCCAGGTGGCCGAGGAGACTGCCAAACGGGCACCGGTACAGTCAGCACTGACAGTAAGGATGATCGATGTCCCAGAAGGGTGCCCTCGCATCATCCTTGTCTCTTCGGTGTTCTTCGGCCCACCCTCAACCACTCTCGATGGCCAGCTCTGCTCGAGAAGCTTCAGCACTGGCGCCCCAGGGTCGTGCATCCTTACCGACCATCCTCACTCTCAGTGTGGGCTCGACTGGCCCAGGCGGCCGAGGAGATTGCCAAACCGGCCCCGGCCATCCTTCCAGCCACTCTGGGGGGGGGGGCTGTCGGCAGGCCCTCGCCCAGGGGCGCGTGCGGAGGGGGTGGGAGTTTTGCCGCCCGCGCGCGTCCGGGTCGTGTCTTTGGGTGTGCGTGTGTACATATTTGTATTTGTATATCTATGTATATATGTATATATATATGTATATATGTATCGATGTGTGTGTGTGTGTGTGTCTGTGTATGTGTCTGTGTGCGTGTTTGCGTGTGCAGACGGGGCCACCCGCTTGTCGCCACCCGCAAAACACACACACACATATACACATACACACAAACACACAAACACACAAACACACAAACACACAAACACACAAACACACAAACACACAAACACACAAACACAAACACACACACACACACCACGTCATATGCCAGAGGCGCGTGTACTCTGACGATGCTGTACAACGCTGTGCTTCCACATGCGCTGGTCATCCGCAAGGTCAGAACTCAGATTGGCACGCAATGCTTCCCCAAGCTCAGAGTTCCGATTGGCACAAGGTCAGAGCCCCACCCGCAACGCCAGGTGGCAATTGTTACGGTAGGGGCCTTGCCAGCCCGTTCGCTAAGTTTGAGGCCTCGTCCGCGCATGCCGGCTTGTCTTGCGCAGCCTTCTTACTGCAGCGCCTTGTGGAGTTCATGCGACAGCTTGCGCCCCTTGTCATCATTCGCCACGGTTTTACGTCACCTGGCCGGCGGAGGAAATCGGAGGTTGGGGGGTGAGTCCAACGTGAAACGGAGACCACCCCTACAGGGAAATCGATTTCGGTTTCGGGTTCGTGTCGTGCGTGCCGTGCGTGCGTGCGTGCGGGCGAGGCGAAGCTGCGTGGGCGGGCGAGAGGAAATCCTCCTGTGGTTGGGCCGCGGCCGAGCCAAATGATTGCCCCCCGGTGGCCGGTGGCCCGCGGTGTCCCGCGGGTGTCCCGCTGGCGTCCCAAAATCCTTCTGTGCCTGGGCCGCTGCCAGACCAAATGAGTCTCCTCCGGCGGCCGGTGGCCCGAGGTGTCCCACTGGTGTCTCGCTGTTGTACTGTGGTGTCCGCCGTTGCTAGGGAGAAGTTAAGACAAATGATTCTCCCCCTCCCGCCCGTCCAGCGGTGGCTCGCGGTGTCCCGTGGTGTCCCGTTGAATGAGACCGATAGTGAGATCGATAGTGAGATCCCCATGGTGCCCCGTGGTGTCCCAAAAAGTGAGATCGCTAGTGAGATCGATAGTGAGATCGAAATGTGTCCCGTGGTGTCCCGTGGTGTCCCGTTGAGTGAGATCGATAGTGAGATTGGTAGTGGGATCAATAATGAGATCGATAGTGAGATCGATGTGTTGTTTCGAGGTGTCCCGTGGTGTCCCGTGGTTTCCTACGGTGTCCCGTTGAGTGAGATCGATAGTAAGATCGATAATGAGACCGATAATGAGATCGAGAGGTGTCCTGCGGTGTCCCGTGGTTTCCAGCGGTGGCACGTGGTGTCCCGTGGTGTCCCGTTGGGTGAGATCGATAGTTAGATCTATACAGAGATCGACAAGTGTTCCGTGGTGTCCCGTGGTGTCTCGTTGAGTGAGATCGATAGTGAGATCGATTGAATCAGATGTTGGTTCCCCCCCCAACTCCCCCCCCCCACCACCTCCTTATCACCCGAAGGGTGGTAGTATAGGTAATCGTGTGTGTATGCGTGTGTGTATGTGTGTGCGTGTGCGCGTGCGTGCGTGCGTGCGTGCGTGCGTGCGTGTGTGTGTGTGTGTGTCTGTGTGTGTGCGTGTGTATGCGTGTGTGTATGTGCGTGTGCGTGTGTGCGTGCGTGCGTGCGTGCGTATGCGTATGTGTATGTGTGTGTGTGCGCGTGTGCTCGCGTGTGTGCGTGTGTGCGCGCCGCGTGGCCTGGGCCGGCCGCGCGCGTCTCTTCGCCAGACGTGCTAGGCCGCGACAGCGCGACCGTGACCACGGCTCCAAACATTCCGATTCATATGTATGTACATATATATATATATATATATATATGCACATGTTTATAAGGCCGGGGACCTCGGACCCCCCCCCCCAACGGATTTGGCCCACCTCGGGCCTTCCTGGCAGCCCCCCAGACGACCTGGGAGGACCTCGCGAGGGCCCGAAGACGGCCCCGGCCTCAACGTTTCGGCGCGCTTCCGAAACGAACCCAAAGAGCCCCAAGACGGTCGGCGACGACCCCACAGGAGCCATCATACCCCCAAAAGTCGCTCCAAAACGTCCCAAGAGGCCTCCAAGAGCACTCCCAAGGAGGTCCCAAGAGGCAAAATGCATTGACTCTCCATTAGTTTGTGGGGGATTTGGGAGTTCTCCCCTTTTCGGCTTCCCGACGCTCCAAAACGGCCCACGAGGCCCCCAAGATCGCCGTAAGATGGCCCGACAGATTTCCAGAGGGCTCCGAGACAGTCCCGACAGGGCCCGAGGAGGCCCCAGGAGGTTCCCAAGAGGCCCCGAAGAGGCTCCAAGAGGCTCCGAAAGAGGCCCCCAGAACCCCCAAGAGGTCCCCAATAGTTTCAAAAGATCCCGCAAGGACCCCACAGAAGTTCGAGACCGCTCCAATAAGATGTCCGAAGAGGCCTCCCAGAGCAATCCCAAGAGGGCCCCACGAGGCAATGATCCCGGCAAAGCAACCTAACAGCGATGTGTATAAGCATATCTGGAAGTATTCCCCTTAAGATTCAGGTGAGAATCCAGTTGTAGACTTCTGCTGTTCTCGCAGTCGAAGTCGCATTCGCAATGACAGTCGCAGTGGCAATGGCCTTAGGATCCAATAGAATCCTAAGGATTCCTGGGGAGTCCTAAGGCATCCTTAGGCATCCTGAGGAAACCTTAGGAATCCTTAGGGATCCTGATTCTTAGGGGTTCCTAGGGATTCATAAGGGTTCCTAGGGAATCCTAAGGATTCCTAAGGATTCCTAAGGATTCCTGAGGATGCTTAACTATGCCTACGGATTCCTAAGGATGCCTACGGATTCCTGAGGATTCCCAGGGATTCCTAAGGATTCCTATGGGTTCCTACGGATGCCTCAGCCTGCCTCAGTTTCAGCCTCAGCCTCAGCTTGCCTCGGCTTGCCTCAGCCTCAGCCTCAGCCTGCCTCGGCCTCGGCCTCGGCGTGCCTCAGCCTCAGCCTCAGCCTGCCTCGGCCTCAGCCTGCGTCAGCCTCAGCCTCAGCCAGCCTCAGCCTCAGCCTCAGCCTCAGCCTCAGCCTCAGCCTCAGCCTCAGCCTCAGCCTGCCTCGGCTTGCCTCAGCTTCAGCCTCAGCCTGCCTCGGCCTCAGCCTGCCTCGGCCTCAGCCTGCCTCAGCCTCCCCTCCTCCCCCCTCCCCCCTCCCCCCCCCATTCAGCCTCACCTTGTCTCAGCTTCGGCCTGCCTCGGCCTCATCCTCAGCCTCGCCTCAGTCTCAGCCTCAGGCTGTCTCGGCCTGAGCCTGCCTCGGCCTCAGCCTCAGCCTGCCTCAGTCTCAGCCTGCCTCAGCCTCAGCCTCAGCCTGTCTCAGCCTCAGCCTGCCTCAGCATCAGCCTCAGCCTCAGTCTCAGCCTGCCTCGGCTTGCCTCGGCCTCAGCCTCAGCCTGCCTCGGCCTCAGCCTCAGCCTCAGCTTGCCTCAGCCTTAGCCTCAGCCTGCCTCAGCCTTAGTCTCAGCCTGCCTCAGCCTCAGCCCGCATCAGCCTCAGCCTCAGCCTGCCTCAGTCGCAGCTTGCCTCAGCCTCAGCCTCAGCCTGCCTCCTTCAGCCTCAGCCTCAGCCTCGGCTTGCCTCAGCCTCAGCCTCAGCCTTCAGCCTCAGGCTCAGCCTCAGCCTCAGCCTCAGCGTCAGCTCTCAGCCTCAGCATGCATCAGCCTCAGCCTCAGCCTCAGCCTGCCAGCCTCAGTCTCAGCCTGCCTCAGCCTCAGCCTGCCTCAGCCTCAGCCTCAGCCTGCCTCGGCCTCAGCCTGCGTCAGCCTCAGCCTCAGCCTGCCTCAGCCTCAGCCTGCCTCAGCCTCAGCCTCAGCCTGCCTCGGCGTGCCTCAGCCTCAGCCTCAGCCTGCCTCGACCTCAGCCTGCCTCGGCCTCAGCCTGCCTTGGCACCAGCCTGTCTCATCTCGGGCATTCAAAATATGGCACAGGATCTGTGTTCTGGGAAGACGAAGAACACGAAGTGGCCTACAGTTGGCTCTGGGCATTCAAAGTGTGGCCTTGGAATGGTGTTCTGGGAACACGAAGAACACGAAGTGGCCTACAGTTGGCTTCGGGCATTCAAAATATGGCCTGGGAATGGTGTTCTGGGATCGCGAAGAACACGAAGTGGCCTACAGTTGGCTCCGGGCATTCAAAATATGGTCTGGGAATGGTGTTCTGGGAAGACGAAGAACACGAAGTGGCCTACAGTTGGCTCTTGGCATTCAAAGTGTGGCCTTGGAATGGTGTTCTGGGAACACGAAGAACACGAAGTGGCCCACAGTTGGCTCCGGGCATTCAAAATGTGGCCTTGGAATGGTGTTCTGGTGAGTCCCCGGATCCTCCCCGGTACTGCCCAGACCCTCCTGGGGAGTCCCGGGGGTTCCCCGGATTCTCCCCGGCATCCGCCCAGACACCCCTGGGGAGTCAAGATGCTGTCTTTTGAGCCCACTAGAAACCTGTCAGTCTTCGCTGTTAGGTAAAATCCATGGATTTCCGTTGGTTAGTGGGGGATGTTTGAGTTCTCTCCTTTTCGGCTTCCCGACGCTTCAAGACGGCCCACGAGGCCCCCAAGATCGCCGTAAGATGGCCCGACAGATTTCCAAGAGGGCCCAAAACCGGCCCAAGAGGGCCCCCAGACAGTCCTGGCAGGGCCCCAGGAGGCTCCCAAGAGTCCTCGAAGAGGCCCTAAGAGGGAATATGACCCCAAGACAGCCAAACAGAGCCAATACGCGCCCTAAGACGGGCCCAGGCGATAACGGGACTGCATCACGTCACACAGAGGCCCTCAGAAGGCTCCGGGAGGCTCAATAAGGTCCACGTGGCGTTAACATTATGAACGCGAGGCCTCCATAGAGCGCGCGTCGGCGCAACACAATTTCAGTGTCGAGATAATCGCGTCCCGCTGCGACACGGTCCCGAGGCCCCCCAAGGCCATCACACGGCTCCTTTCATAGTCCTAAGGACACGGTCATTGGTATGCCCAAGTCGGCGTTCCACATTCTGCCGTGTCTTCCATGCTGGCTCCAACCCAAGTCTTTTGGCACTCGCGAGCCCTTCACTGCATTTCTGGCCTCCACCTCTGTGGCCACGACAGCGTGCATGTACTTTGACATGCATATGTGCACACGTAGATCTGCCCAAGTAGACATGATACACATGTATGCGCAAACTTGGGTATCTCTCTCTCGCTCTCTCTTTTGTGTTTCTCTCTCTCTCTCTCTCTTTCTCTACAGATGTACGTACGTCAATATACCCACCCAAACACACGCACGTATATACGTATATACGTATATATATATATACACACGCCTATATGTATGTAAGGCGTGCACGCACGTGCGCGCCCATGGCATGCATGCACAACATCGCGCGCGCATTCGCACGCGCACGCACGCCGTCCGCGTGCGAAACTCGAAGGGCCAAGGTGCACGGCGCGAAGCGCCATTGCAGCCTTGTATATATATATATATATGTGTGTGTGTGTGCCCCCCTTGGACCGGCGAGCGCGGGGACCTCCCTCGATTTCGCCCGCCATACATGACGTTCTTCGCCTCGTCGCCGCGCGCGAGGCCGTGACCGCCAAACAAGTGTATGTATGTGTGTTTGTGCGTAGTCTAGTGTAGTGTAGTCTAGTCTAGTGTAGTGTAGTGTAGTCTAGTCTAGTGTAGTTTAGTGTAATGTGTGTAGTCTAGTGTAGTGTGTTAGTGTGTGTGTGTGCGTCTGTGCGTGCGTGCTTGTGTGTGTATGTGTGTGTGTGTGTGTGTGTTTGCCCCGACCCCGTGCGCAAAGAGGCAGAGCCTCTCGAGACGTTGTGTACTCGGCCGCAGGCACTTGTGGAGCCGCAGGGCCCGTTAAGACTTGGTTGCCAGGGATTGCCGCAGCTTGTCGCTCAGTTTGGCACGTTCTGGGAAATTTCTCGATTTCGAGCGACCGACAGGCTGACATTTCTTCCTGGGCGGAAGGCGGCGGAAGATGGCGGAAACAAATCGGCGGCAGGCCCGCTGGCGGAAGTTCGGCGGAAACCCGCGCAAGTAGAGATCGCCCCACCCCACAAGAGATGGCAACAAGTTTTGTTCCAGGGTTTCCAGAATTGGCCGTTACGATTCCCCTGGGGCTGTCTGGGCCCCGTGAGGGGTGCTCTTGAGGCCGCTGGGGCCTCACTGGAGATCCTCGGGGCACCCTGCCTTCGCCAAGGGAAACTTCTGGCAACACCCGACGGGTCCAGAGGCTTTTATTGCCGTCTCGGGCCTCTTCGGAGCCCTTCCTGGGTCCGGGGGTCGCCAAAACTCAAGTGAGCATTTCCTGGGTCCGGGGGTCGCCAAAACTCAAGTGAGCATTCGGGTTCGTCGAAGATGGCGGTGATGACTAGGGGTGGTGTATGGAGATGGCCAGGGCCGCGCAATCCCCAGATCTCGCTGCCCCCCAAGTTCTTGTCCTTCCCCGCGCTGTTCTTCATATATGTGCATTCGTCCATGTCTTTTTTTATTGCTTAGTTTCCCACTTTGTGTGTTGTCCTGTCTGTTTCTCTTTCTTATTTCAACCTGCTCCCTGCCCCCCCCCCTCGCCCGCGCACGTGACCCGGCCCACGATGTTCGATCCCCCGCCTGCCCTTCCTGGCCCCCTGTTCGGCGCACCCGAAGGTTGCCAGCCTGTCCCGGGGAAGGCCCACGGGGCCCGAGATCCGTCACCTTCACAGCCCTCCTCCTGCGTGCCAACCTTGCGACCCGCTCGCCGTGTTGGCCCGGCCTCGTCGTCGAGGTGCGGTCTTCGAGCGACAACGAGCTGCGGCAGGTTCGCGACGTGTCGACCGGCGCCGAGCCCGCCGCCGGCGTTGAACGTGAAACGCAGCTGGCGACCCAGAATCCGTCGATCTTGAACGATCGGACGTTTCGAAAATGGCCGATCGTTCAAGGTTGAACGAACCCAGCGGTGGGTGTCAGGGACCACTGCTGGGGTCGACACGGCGCGAACCTGCTGCACGTAACCCTCAAGCGAGTGAGGCCCGCGCGGTTCTCTTGGATCAGCGCTGGAACCTTCTGGCGACGCCTCTGTCGGGATCCCGCACAGGGGTGTGTGTGCCCCAGGGGGGGGAGTTCGATCGGCTCTTGCACCGAACCGCATAGAGCAGATGCACACCCCGCGGCAGGCAGCTCTCGATGGTCGCCGATCGGGGGGCATGCGGGGGTCCTCGTTTGGAATAGAGCTCTGCGGTCTCCGTCCTCTCCCGCCCTCTCCTTTCCTCCCTCCTCCTCCTCCTCTGCTCTCTTGCCTTGCAGCTCTTCGCCTCGCCGTCCTACGTCCCCTCGCCATCCCTGGGGGGCTGCTCGGTGCACCAGCGGATCGAACTCGTGCCCCCCCCCCTCTCAGGGTCACCCCCCCCTCCCCTTGCGCGCCGCGCGGGCCAGGGGAGGGGGGGGGCAATGCAGCGCCGGACCAACAAAAGTAGACGGGGGCGTCCGAGAGATTGTGCAGGAGGAGGAGGAGGAGGAGGAGGAGGAGGAGGAGGAGGAGGAGGAGTGACGCTACGAGCGCCCGGATCGCTCAGCAGCCAACGCAAGAAAAAAGGAGGAGGAGGAGGAGGAGGAGGAGGAGGAAGAGGAGGAGGAGGAGGAGGAGGAGGAGGAGGAGGAGGAGGAGTGAGACGTTGTTTCGGCTTCTCCGTGCCGCGTGAGCTGGCCCGGCTTGCGCGCGCCCGCCGGACGCGACGGAGGTCGCGCCGCGGCGACGCCCGAGGGTGTGTGTGTGTGTGTGTGTGTGTGTGTGCCGTTGTTTGTGCCTGCTGCCTCGCGAGGAGAGGCGGGCGGGGAGAGAAGAGGCGGCCGCCAGCCGGTCGTTCTGCCTGAGCCCGTGCTCCCGCGCCTGGCCCCCAGGCGGCGCCTGGTCTGGAAGGGGTCGGGCTGCGGCAGTTCGGGGGCCCATCGCCGAGTCGAAGGCGGTGCATCGCCGACTCCAGGTCGATGCTTTCCCCCCCTTTTGGGCCCGTCCCCACCTGATCGTTCCCCCTCAAACGGAGCGAAGGCGGCAGGAGGCAAGCAGAGTCGCCGCCCCCCCCCGGCATCAGGGGAGAATTTGCTCGCCTGCCTCGCCACCGTCCCAGCCCGCTCGCCTTCCCTGTCAAAGACGTCCGGCTCCGAGAGGAGGAGGAGGCAGAGGACGGCGAGAACTCAGAACAGGAGGGAGGAGGAGGAGGAGGAGGAGGACAAGGACAAGGAGGAGGAGGAGGAGGAGGACAGGGAGGAGGGAGAGCGAGACGAGGAGGATGAGGACGAGGACGAGGATTAGGAGGAGGAGGAGGGGGTGAAGGAGGAGGAAGCGTATGCTTCGATAGCAGACGATCTAGGTTCGCCTGGCTTCCAAGAGGCGACGGAGGAGGATCACGAGGAAGACGCGGCGGAGGAGTGGGCGGCCCCGCGGTGCCTCTCCCTCCGTGCGAGCTGGACGGGCAGGCCACAGCGGCCACCGCTGGAACGAGGCGGCCGACCGCCTTGCGAACCTCGGCGCGGCCGGGCACCGGTGCCTCTCGGGGCGCTGGGCGCCCTCCGCAGAGGCCCTCCCCCCCGGCGGCCCTCGGTGGCCGTCCGCGGAGGCCCTCGGCAGCTCTCAGCGGCACTCGGCGTCCCTCGGCGGCCCGTCGAGTGCGTCGCAGTGCGTGGCTGAGCACCTCAAACTATACGAACGTGCATGCACATCGTACGTGTGCATGCCTTTCTCTCCATCTCTATGTATATATATATATATATATATATATATATAGATCTCTCTCTCTTTCTCTCTCCCTGTTTCTACACATCCCTTGAGTGGCGTGCCGCCCGTCAATTGGGTTTGATGTTTCTCGCCTCGCTCTCTCTCTCTCTCTTTGTTTTCTCTCTCTCTCTCTCTCTATCTCCATCCCTCCCACTCTGCATATAAACCCGACATATCCCAGGGTGGGCCGGACCGCGGCCCCAGCGTGGCACCGGGGGTGAAACGAGTCTGGACCCGCCAAAAGGGCCGCCAAGGTCGCCTTGAGGCAACCAAGAAGAGCCCTCAAGGAGCCTAGACAGACCCAAAACGCCCCCAGCACGCCGACCATTTCTTCGAGACGGCTCACGCGGCCTTCAAGACGCCCCAAGAAAGCTTCCAGCTGATCCCCGAGAGAGGCTCCAGGGGGGAACATCAGTGATTTCTCTTTGGTTGTTCCAAGCGTTTACGTGTGACCGCCTGCTCTTCCCGCCGACGCCTGGAGACAGCACAAGAGGCGCCCAAGAGAGCCCCAAGACATCCCAAGAGGGCGCCAAAGGCATCCTAAGAGGGCGCCAAGACTGTCCCAGAGGCGCCAACAAATCGCCCAAGATCTTCCAAGGCGCCCCCCCGAAATGAGCTTGGACACGCCGTGTACGCACCAAAGGGGGGCCCACAGGGCCCCAACGGCCCCAGCACGCTCACCATTGCTGCGATCCTGCCCGCGAGGCATCCAAGACGCCCCAAGAGGGCTCCAAACTGCTCTCCGAAACAGCCCGAATACTCCAGATTTCGTGATAAAGGGAGGGGGGTCTCATTTCGGGGGGGGTCTCTTCCAGGCTATCTTGGAGGGCCTGGGGGGTCTGGGGACGATGTTTTGGAGGGTTCTCCCACGGGGGGGGGGTCTGAAATGGCTTCTCTTGGAGGGTCCAGACCCCCTCCCTTTTATTACGAAATCTGGAATAGGCAAAACGTCAGTGATGTCCCCTTCGTTTGTGACTGATTCGTCGCGCTGCTGCCCGCTGCGCTGCCCGACGCCTGGAGACGGCACACAAAACGTCTACGAGGGCTTCACCGCGCGCCAAGACGGCGCCACACCGGCCCAGGAGGCGCCTTAAATGGCCCAAGAGGCCCCTAGGCGGTCTGCCAAAGGAGTTTGGACCCGCCAAGGGGGGCCGTGAAAGAGACCCACACTCGGGCCGGGCGAAAGGGGGGATTGGGAAAGGGGGGGTTACGACATTTGCTGCATGCAGCTGGTTTCGGCCCCACCGAGGGGCCCATTCCTCGATACATGGGCGCCTCTGGCGCCGGGGGGCGCCGGGAAAATCAGCTGCGTGAGCTGATTCTCAAGCCCCCCCTTTGCTATCCCCCCCTTTCGCCCGACCCGAAAGAGGCGCCTGAAGTGGCCCAAGAGGCCCCAAGGCGGTCTGCCAAGTGAGTTTGGACCCGCCAAGGGGGGGCCGTGAAGGAGACCCACACACGGCTTTCAAACGGCCCCAGCACGCCTTCCATCGCTTCGATGCTGCTCACGAGGCGTCCAAGATGCTCCAAGAGGGCTCCAACCTGCTCTCCGAGAGATCTCTAAAGGGCAGAAATCAATGATTTTTATCAGTCGCCGGCTCCGCTTCACTGCGATCGGAGACGGCACACGAGGCGTAAACGAGAGCCCCAACACTCCAAGGGGCGCCAAACGAGCCTCGACACCCCAAACACATTCTACACGCGGCCGAGGAGCCCCAAAAGGACCCCCCAAATGAGGTTCGAGACCCCGACAAAGCCTTACGGAGTCGTCACGAGGGCTTCCACACGGCCGCAAGCATCATGTTCCCGGAGAGCCCTTCCGGGAACGCGAATGTCGCCGCAAGTCATCGAAGGATGAGGAGGTTTCCAACAATTTGTTTGTTTTTGTTGCTCAGTCCGCATGCCCACGCTCCAACACCGCCAAAGGCGCTCCCCAGATTGCACAAAAGCCTCCCGAAAGAGCGCCAAGCAGGCCCAAGAGGCGGCCTATTCGGCCCAAGAGCCCCCAAGACGGCCCCCCAAATGAGCCTCGACACTTTCAAAGGGCCCAACAGGCGGCCGAGGAACCCCAAGACTGCCCCCCAAATGAGCCTCGACACCCTAAAAAGGCTCAGCTCGCGGCCAAGGAGCTTCGAACCGGCACCCCCAAACGAGCCTCGACACCCCGCAGGGTAGTAGAAAGGCTTCCACGAGGGCCCCAACACGACCGCAACCATCACGTGCCTCGAAAGCCTTCCCGGAACGTGATTGTCGCCGCCAGTCCGAGGAAATGAAGTTCCACGGACACAACCATCATGTTCGCGGAAACCCTTTCGGGAATGTGTTTGTCGCCGCCAGTCATCGGAGCATGAGATAATCACGAAGTTCCCCGTTGTTGCTTGTTCCACTTGACGACGCTCCAGCACTGCCAAGGACGCTCCTCATATTGCACCGGAGCACCCCAACAGGGCGCCAAGATGCCCCAAGAGGCGGCCTAGATGGCCTAAAAGGCCTCCAAACGGCCCAATGGCTTCACAGGCGGTCTTTTCTGATGATGACGATGGTGTTGATGATGATGGTGGTGGTGATGATGGTGATGAGGATGACGGTCATTGCGATGATGCTGCGGATGATGATGTTGCTGGTAATGCTGAGGAGGAGGTGGATGAGGAGGAGGAGGAGGAGGAGGAGGAGGAGGAGGACGCGGAGGATGAGGCCGAGAGGGAAACGGAGGGCGGAGGCATGGGATGAAGATGAGAAGGGGGACTGCACAAAAAAGGAGGAGGGGGAAGAGGGCGGACGGAATGAGGGGCCCGTGGACGAAAATGGAAGCGTAACCCCTATTCAGCCGCTGTTCCCTCCATCCTTCCTGCCTCCCAGATCGTTAAAAAAGGTGCCAAAACGCCTTCACGAAAGCCCCAACACGGACCAAACCGTCGCGCTCCAGAAACATGATTGTCGCCGCCAGTCGAAAGAGGAGGACGACAAGGACGAGGATGGAAGGCGGGGTGCGGAGGCATAGGACGAAGATGGGGAGAAGGACGAGCACGAGGAGGAGCAGGAGGATGAGGAGGAAGAGGCCTCCGAGCTTGCATGCCTGCCATGGGAGTGGACGAGAGTAAACATGACGAGGATGACCGTGAAGTTTCCGGTGATGATGATTATGCGCGGGTGTACCGCGTGCGTGGTTCTAACTCATGTACTTGTATGTGTGTATGTAATATATATATATATATATATATATATATATATATTCATATATATATATATATAAAGAGATGTTCCCCAATCAGTGCTTGCACTGAAGGGGTCCTAGCGGAAGTTGAAGGATTTGGCGAAAGTGCACCGCCGATGTTGGTGGCAGGCTGGGTTCCCGGGTTCCGGGGTCCCCGGTTCCGGTATCCGGGCCGATTTCGGAGGGCGGCGAGGTTCCTGGGTTCCCGGGTTCCTGGTCGATCTATTTACCGATCGGTCTCACCATCTATCTCAGTATTGACTTCTCGATCGATCCCACCATCGATCTCACAATTGATCGCACTATCAATCTCGCCACCGATCTCACTAGAGATTGCATGAGCGATTTCGCGATCGATCTCACGATCGATCTCATTGAATCGATTTTACTCTCAGTCTCACGATCGACCTTACAATCGTCCTCACTACCGATTCCATTATCGATATAATTATCAATTGCACCATATACTTCAAGATCCATAGTATCAATTTTCAATTCATCCACTGATTGTTTTTTTCGGGTGTCATGCATACATTTTTTGTATACATATATACACATACATACATACATACATACATACATACATACATACATACATACATACATACATACATACATACATACATACATACATACATACATACATACACGTGTGTATATCAATAACGTGTATATACACACATATATAAACACGTATATATACATTATCGGTGTAAGGTTTCCGGGGCCTGAAACCTGGAACCTGAAGCCGCCATGGGAGGACTGGAGCCCCTGAAACGCTCCCAGAGAGCGCCACGACGGGCCTCGAGGTTTTCGAGGCGGCCTTCGAGGCTCTCCAGACGGCACCTCATTGTGTCCAGGCGGCCCCGGACAGTTCAAGATCGGCCCAAGACGCCCCCAGGCGGCTCCCAAAGCGTGTCCACGCGACCCAAAAGGCCCCCAACACGGCCCAACGCTCCTCCAAAAACACTTCCGAATGCGGCCAGAAAACGAAACCACTGATTCCCTAAAGGTTTCTAGAGGTTTTTCGCGTTCTTTCCTTTTCGGCTCCCCGACGCTTCGAGACGGGCCAAAAGGCACCCCGAATCGCCCCAAGACAACCCCAAGACAGGCCAAAAGGGCCCCAAGACGGGCAAAGAGTCATCCAACACGGCCCAAGAGGCCCCCAAGAAGATCCCCAACACGGGCCACGACAGGGGATCCGAACGGACCCTCGGCACCAAGAGGCGCCCCCCATGAGGCCCAAAAGAGGCCCCCCAAAGGCCGCCAGGAGGCCCCCCAAAGGCCCCCAAGTGGCCCCCGAGAGGCCCCCAAGAAGCTCCGAAGCGGCCCCGAACAGCCACCAGAACGGCCCCAAGAGGCTTCGGATTTGCTTCCACGAGGCTTTCGAGGAACGTGCCACGAGATTCGAACGAATCGTCCAGATGCTTCTGTGAGGAGCACCAGACGCTTCCAAAGCCAAGCAGCTCCCAGAGGTCCAGATAAGGAGACAATTAATCAACAAAACAAGAACAACTAGTGATGTACCAAACCAGTGTGCGTCAAGTGACAAGGGGAGTTGGCTCAAACTTGCCAGGACAATGACAGTGCAGACGCCGTTCTATGCTGTGCAAGCTACATGGGATACGCTCGCGTGGCACGATTCACAGGACAACGAAAGAAGGACGAGGAACGAAAACCAAGACTTGAGAAGAACATGGGGCGGGAACGAAGGGCAGGAGAAGGACGCGCGTGGGTCCGACCCGTTAGCGCGGCATCATCAAAGGGAAGGTGGCTGGTGGCAGAAGACGACGACGAACGTGACGGGAGGAGACAGAAGAGTGTTGCTTCTGCGGTCGCACGCTAAAGATGCAGCGTTGCCTGCGCCATGTCGCCGCGGCGCCCGACAAAATGATTAACCGCCAAGAGGCGCCCAAGGCGGCTCCAAGAGGAGTCCAAGAAAGGGAGCACCAACTGAAATTTCGAGGCCCCGCGCCACCAGTGGGCCCTCCAGGCCGCAGAAGGGACCCACGAGGCCCCCAAGGGCCCCGAAAGAGGCCCCAAAGGCGAGAAAGGGGCCCGCATGAGGCCACAAGGAGCTTCCAAACTCGCTCCACGAGGCGCCCGAGGGGCATGCCAAGCGAACCGGAATTACAGGCGTGCGCGAATCGTCTGGCCCCAGACTCAGGCACAGTCGCGGTACGGGCCGAAGGCCATATATATGTATATATATATATATATACATATATATATATATATATATATATATATGCGCAGTACATTGGTTTGGCGACGGACCCATTCCTATGCAGTCATATGTAGTGCAGAGCGCGGGTCTTTCTTCAGACACTGCGCGCCGCGGGGCAATGCGGAAAGATGGTTGCCGCGGGGCACGCGTGCACGGGTGCGCTGACATCTTTGTGGGGCACGATCTGCGTGAAGGGCCGCGCGAACACGCCTACTGAGCCGCAGGTGGGCCTCCTCTGGGCACGCCCCGTGCGAGGCATGTACCGAAGTTGGCGCGGGGAGGCCATGCGAAGCTGCCTGTTGTTGCCATAGATCGATCTCCTTCTGGGGCATGGTTCGCATGACAGGTGTGCCGACATGGGCGGGGGGGGAGTTGTACGAACTTTGTCTCTGGGCCTTTATGTGGTGCTCCTTCTGGGCACGCTCCGCGTGATGGGGTGTGCCGCAGTGGCCGTGGGGGGGGGCAGTGCGAACCCTGTGTGGCCGTGGGTGGAGATCTCTGTGGGCTACGATCCGTGTGAGAGGTGTGCCGAAGCAGACGGGATGGCGGGAGCGCGGGATGCGAACTTTGTCTCGGGGGCCTTCCGTGGAGCTCCTTGCGGGCCACGGTCCGTCTAAGGGGTGTGCCGAGGAGTGAGCGGGGAGATGCTATGAAGCTCCTCTCTGGTGCCGCAGATGCATCTACTTGCGGGGCACGATCTGCGCCGGGGCGTGCCACTACGCGGACCTCGTCTCTGGGCACGTAGGTGGATCTCCCTGTGTGGCGCGATCCCTGTGAGGAGTGTGCCGGTATGGGCGACCTGCCTCTGGGGCCGCAGGTGGAGCTCCCTGAAGTGCACGATCCGTGTACCAATATCTGTCCTCCGATGCCGAAAACTCTTAGACTACAACTAGAGCTTGCTAGCACCTACGCGCGCGAAACGCGCGCGCGTGGTTCTGGTACATGTGTGTGAGTACACAGATGCATCCCTCTCCCGCCCCCTTGAGTGGCGAACTGGTTGTCAACATGCAGCAGCGAGCCGCTTGTATGCTTGCATCCTCTCCCATGGGTTGATTTGTCTTGTTGTTTTGTACGGTTGCGTTGTTTTCTCTCGTTCTCTCTTTCTCTCTTTCGCTCTCTCTCTCTCTCTCTCGCTCAACATACATCTGAATCCATGTGTGTACAAGAGGTGCGTAAATGCATGTACGCGGATAATTGTGGCTTGTCCCCATCTATCCCTCCTTGTACAAACATCACTAGTTAAGAACGGGTGTATCTCTCTCTCTCGCTCTCCCGCTTCCTTCTTCCTGCTTTTCCGTGCGCGTGCGTCTTGTCAGTCACATTGCGCTCGCTAGGGTTCTCTTGCGCTCTCTCTGTCCCTCTCGTGCACATTATTTTTCTCTGTAACACTTCATGTCCCCCTTCTGGTCCCCACACGTTACCAGAAGCGTTCGCATGTTTTCCTCAGCCGCTGGTGTGGCCGTCGGGGAGTATTCCGCCACAAAGTGCCACCCCCTTTGCGGTGCCCATGTCCAAAGGGATGTGCAACGCGAGGCAGCGTGTAGCTGTCCGCGCGTTCCTTGGCGGCCGCATCTGCATGGCATCCTCCCGCCATGCCTTCATAAGCTCTGCCCCCAGGGCTACCACAACACGCCCCGCACACACCACGGTCCAGATCTGTCGCTCTTTGCGGTCCTCGGGCGCACTCCCGTCCAGCAACCAATTGTCACTGAGCAGCGCCTCGTGCCCCTCAACGCACGTGCGTTTCAGCCACGGGTCTGCCAGGGAGAAAGTTCCCCCGAACCCGCGCAAATTCCATGTCCCCGCGCGCACGCGTGGTCACACGCACGCACGCACGCACGCACGCACCTCTTTCCCGCCTCTTCCTCCACTTCCTCCTGGCCCCTCCTCGTCCCTCTTCCTTGGGCCCTGTTTACACTTTCTTGGTCGCGCTGCCTGGTGCCAGCTGCGACAGCTTAGACTGCCACTGAGTTCTTCCCTCCACAGTGCGATACACGTTCCAGGGGAGTGCTTCTTGATCTCGCGAGTTGGGTACGGACGGTTCGCGTCGTGTCGACCGACGGCGACCCTGCCGCCGGCGTTCATGGTTGAACGACGCGACGTTGCGCAAGCGGCCGATTGATCAATGTTGAACGATCCCCGCGGTTGCAGGAACCAACGCCAGGGTCGACACGACGCGAACCAGCCTTGGCCCGGCTGCGAGCCCTTGGGGGAGTCGAGAAGGCGGGCCTTCTCAGAAGGCTCGGAAGTCCCCCGGCCTTCTGAGACATTTTCTGAGCCGTCCTCGAAGACAGACAAACTTTCAGAAGACGGGAGGCGCTCTGAGAAGCCCCGCCGCCCTCTGAAGGCCTTCCCCTTCTCACTTCCCCCCCCGCTCGCCGCCGAGTACGCTTCCCGAGGGGCACCAGAACAAATAGATGCGCGCCTGCGCCTTTTCCTCGAGCTGCCCTCCGACCGCCGCGCGGCCGCGAGGGCGGCCCGTATCTGCCCGCCGAGTGCAGCAATCCGGCGTCCCCGCCGCCAGTTGTGCCCATCTGCTTTCTTGCGCCCACCCGATTCAAAGAAGAAGAAACGGCGTAAACAGGAAGTTGGATTTGCGCTGGTACCCCCTGGCGGCGCCGCCAGTGTCGTCCCTGACACTACGCGCATATGTCATATTGGAGAGCGGCAGCGCGAAACTCTTCATCGTTGCCCCCAAGGCCTCCGCCGCGAACTTGGACACCCACGATGCTGTTCCCGAAGACTTGTGTCGCTTGCCAGAGGGACTCGCGTCGTGGCCTCCAGGGGCTCATGTCGTTTGGCTCGGGGCCTTGTGCCCATGGCCGATCGGGTTTACGAGTGCCCTTCGCGACGCGACCGACGCCGGTCAATTTCGAGAGGTCATGTGCCCAAAGATGTGGGTTCCACGGTGCCCCAATAATTGTGTGCCATGCCCAAGAAGATGCCCTAAGTGGGACCCAAGTGTGTGTTTGGGGAGTTGTGTTGGGCCCAGAGTTGGTTCGGATGCGAGGATGTTTTGCGATGTTCGCCCGTGTTCGGCACACTCATGGACACGTAGCATTTTCGGGGGGCACAACATGGTGGTCGGTCAATTCACGCATCCATTCTGGGCTCCGTTTTGGGCTCACAGGGGTCCAGTTCGGGCAAGTGTTCTGGCATCCGAACCTTGGATTGCCAGTGTCCCGTGTCGGTGCAGTACTGGGGAGCTGGGGAGTGTCGTGATGGCGCTGTGTCCTGACGGCGTCGCATCGCAAAGTTGGAGCCAATAGGGCACACAGAGGGGGCCTTGAGGGCATTGGGGTAACATGGAAGAGGGCCTCGAAGGTATCGGGCAAACAAGGGAAGGGGATCGGGCAAACCAGGAAGGCAATCGCGAAAGACACCTCGTGTGAGCACAACTTAGGGATATTGGGGCGCCGTGTGGGGCACACTTTGGGAACCGTGCGGGGCAGCGCCACCGTCATGGACCAGCCCTGCAGCGGCAGGATTCTGCGGCGGACCCAGCCGTGACGACGAGGGCAGGCCAGGAGGCTCCGAGGGGCCCCAAAAAGGGGGAGCCCGGAGCAGATCACAGCGACTCTCTTGCACCTCGACCGATTCTCGAACCCTCGATCCTCGAGCCTCGTCTCTCAAAAAACCTCACACCTCGAGCCTCACTCTCGGGATCTTCGCGCCTCGGGTCGGTCCTCGAGCTCTCGACCCTCGATTCCTGAGCTCTCGATCCCTGGACCCTCGATCCCCAATCCTTCGACTCTCGATCCTGCGTCCACGATCCTCGACCCCCGATTCCCGCCCCCGATCCTCGATCGATGATCCTCCCCCTTCCTCGAGCCTCGAGCCTCTCCGTCCTCGATGCCCGAGCTCGCCGCCCAGGCGGGGGCCTCTGCCGCAGTGCGGCGGCGGCGCTCTGCGGAGGCGGCCGGGGCCGAAGGCGGCTCCGTGGGCCTTTGCTGCTGACAGCCTTTGTTGTAAGTATGGCGGGCATGTCCCTCCACAGGAGGAAAACATGTAAATAGTAGAACATACTATGGGGACGATGTTTCTCACATTTTTTAATTTTCTTTCGAATGTGTTGTTTGATTATTTTCATTTTTCATCCAAAATCCGCCTGTAGGAGGACATGCCCGACCGAACCCTGGTCAACCCAGCCCGTCCCAGCCCAACCCGACCCAAATCCAGCCCATCCCCGCCCAGCCCCTCGTTCGAGGTTCGAGCTTTGAAGTTTTTGGGCGATGTCGTGCATCTTCGGCGGCTTTCCAGCCACAGGATGCTCTCCACCAACTGCGCCTCGCCGAGAGCGTTCCGGGGGTGCCTTGATCGCCCTGAACGGCCGCCAGAGAGCCGAATCACGGCTTGAAAACCAAGGGGCGACGTCAGGGGGGGATAGGCTCGGGGGAGGGAGGCAGGGAGGGGGGAGGAGGGAGGGGGGACCGTTGTCAATAGCCAGACGAGCGACACCGCTTGACCCGCACGAGTGGGGCGGGCCAAGTGGGGCGGCCAACATCGTACGGTTGCCTGGAGCTTGGGGCTCTGCCCGACGCCCCAACCGCTGCCCTGCATGCGCATGGCGAGGGGGCGCAAGTGCGAGACTCCGGCAGTGGAGGGGGGAGGGGGCCACCCTGTGAGGAGAGGCGCCCGATTCCGAGCCCGCTCCCGAACCAGGCCGAAAGTAGGACCAGCTATCGCAGTCGCCGGAGACAGGGGAGTGCGAGGCAGGGCCAGGAGGGAGGCCGGATAAGCTGTTTCCACCGAGTATCTCCGATGTCTCTTAGAGATGCAGAGCCAGGGATACTGCTAGGGGTATAAAACAGGGCTAGGATCGGGATAAATCGCCCCAGAGCGTTCCGGAGCGCTCTCAGAGCGTTCCGGAACGCTCTGGAGCGGCCGTGGCGCCCAGTACATCCTCCAAACCCGCCGATTCTCAGAGATTTCGAGTTATCCCGATCCGATTTTGTCCCGATCTTCGCGTCGTTTTAATACCGCCAGGGGTAGTTGGCCTGGTTCTCCAGGCAGGACGCCGAGAACGGCCCGGGCCGCGACTCTGTGGGAGGGCGGCTGCGGGGAGGCCCCGCGCGGCCCAGGAAGCTGTCTGGCCGCCTTGAGTCCTCCTCCTCCTCCTCCTCCTCCTCCTCCTCCTCCTCCTCCTCCTCCTCCCTCCTCCTCCTCCTCCCCCTCCTCCTCCTCCTCCTCCTCCTCCTCCTCCTCCTCCTGAAGGCAGCTGCCGAGGACGAGGAGGGGCGGGATCAGAAGTTGGCCCTGGCAATGAATGCATGTCTGCCGAGTGGCTCACGACGGGGCTCCAAAGGACTGGCATACGACATATGAGCAGGATCGAGGCCAGGGAGCTGTCCACTTGTACTGTGTCATGTCTGCCCACCTTTCACAGTGGCAAGCGGCGGCCCAGACACGGCGCACAGATTTTGCTCGACACCCGTCGCCCGAAGCACAGGCCCGACGTTTCGACACCATGCCTTGTCCCGTGTCGTTTCTGCGACGCCCCATGGGACGGGGCCCAGACTCCGGCCGGGCGAAATGGGGGGATTGGGAAAGGGGGGGTTACGAAATCTGCTGCATGCAGCCGGTTTCGACCCCACCGCGGGGCCCATTCCTCGATACATAGCCGCCTCCGGCGCCGGGAGGCGCCGGGAAAATCAGCTACGCGAGCTGATTGTCACCCCCCCCTTTGCTAATTCCCCCCTTTCGCCCAGCCCGACAGACTTGGGCGCCCGAGTTGTCCGGGATAACTCGGGTCCGGGGTAACTCGGGCTCGGACTCCCGAAAAAAACGAACCCGAGTTTGACCTGCCCCGAGATACCCCCGATGGCTTGGGGCTCTGGACGCCCGAGTTATCCGGGGCAACTCGGGCCCAGGGTGACTCGGGTTCGGAATCCCGAAAAAACGAAACCGAGTTAGCCCTGACCCGAATCACCCCCGATGGTTCGGGGCTCTGACAGGCGCGCGCCCTCGGCGCGTGCCCGCGCGCCTCCGCCGGGCGCCTCGGCGCCCCGGGCGGCGGAGGGCCTGCCGGGCCTCCGCGGAGCACCGCGCCCCGCGAGCTGCCCGGGCCGGGGCTCGCGGGGCCAGGGCGCGGCCACGGCGGGCCGCCCCCACGAGAGCGCGCGCCCGGCCCTCGCGGGCAGAGCCTCCGAGGGTGCAGAGCTCCATCGACGAGGAAAAGTGTCGGGCAGCTCGGGGGAGGCAAAGAGGGGGGTGATGACTAGGGGGGGGTGGATGCCATGGCGGGGGCCGTGACATTTCCCCAGGTTTCATGGCGCCTCTTCTTACTTCATTACGTCCCTGGTCCCCCCGCTGGGCCGCGCACATGCCGCCGGTCATGATTTGGACCCCCCGCTCTTGGACACCCCCCTCTTGTCGGGGGAGCGTAAGACCCGGGTTTGCCGGGACTCGGGTTCGCCATCGTTTTTTGACGACCGCGACTCGGATTTTGACGAGGAGGAGTTTCGTGGGATGTCTGCAGCGGGAGGCCTCGTCAAAATGCAGGCTCGGCCTCGTCATTTTTTTGACGACCTCGTCGGGGATTTCCGAGTCCCCCGTACCCGGGTCTTACGTCTCCCCGATCTTGGCCGCTCCCGAAGAGCTCCATCGACGAGAACAAGTGTCGAGCATCGTCGAAGGGGACCGCACCAGCATCAACGGAGGGGAACCGCACAGACAGCATCGAGGAGAGAGAACACGGCGCAGGCACCATCGAGTGGAGCTGCACAAGCACGAGGCATGAATTTTCGGCGGTCCGCCCAGATTGCTTGCAGCTGCGCTTGACCCACCGACACCAGGAATTGCTCTTCAGCGCAGACCCACGACATCCGATCGGATTGTCAAAAGTTGATGTGTCTGGAGTTTGCGTTTTTCTTCCATCTCCCGGAGCGTCGGGAGCCCTCGCACTGGCGCGAGAGCATGTGCTCGGCGGCAGCCAGAGGAACAGACCCCGAAGATAGCACAGTGCGCTTCACGTCCAGGACGTGGCCGATGTGCCGGCCACCTGGCCACCCGAGCCCAAGCCACTCGTGGCTCGCAGCGAGGCCGACGGAAGCAGGCCGGGCGGCGACCCACGCAGCGAGAAGGACAGCGGCCGAGACTCCCGTCCTTTTTATCCCCATGCCGCATGCTGGAAGGCTCCTGGTGAACGGCGAAGCGTGCCAAGTGTGTGCCCAGGCAGCGTAGACATTGAAGAGAACGTTGGGCTGCGCCGCGGGTGGAGGCCAGGAGGACTAGGGGGTTACGAGAAGGAGGAGGAGGAAGAGGAGGAGGAGGAGAAGGAGGAGGAGAGGGAGGAGGTTCGAGGCTCGAGGACCGACATGCGTGTAATTGCTGGAATTGCCATTGGTGGGGTTATGCATAAGGAAGTGGGATGGAGGATGATGAGGAGGAGGGAGGATTCATAATTAGGAGAAGAAATATGCAGGCGTGACTATGATGATGCTGATGATGATCATGATGATGATGACGACGACGATAATGATGATGATGATGATGATGATGATGATGATGAGGAGGAGGAGGAGGAGGAGGATGATGACGATGATGATGATGACGATGTTGTTGATGATGCTGATGATGATGAGGAGGAGGAACGCCAGAGTAAACCCAAGGCGCATTAACGATGTTGCATGTCTCCCTCCAACTATCCTATTCATGAGTCCACAGAAGACTTAATATTTATTGTTGGGAGTGCCCCATTGAAATGCAACCGTCTGAGAATGCTCAACATTGTTCTAACATTTTCCTGGGATTCGAACGCCGCGAAGCGTGACTGATCCGTCCAAACAGTCCGAATCTGCGTCAGCCCACCATTCCTGTGACTTCCTCACCGCGAATCAACGTGACGGCTGCGTCCTGACATTCCTACATCGTGCCAGAAAGCTAAAATTTGGAATTCAACCTTATGTTTTCTTGAAGTGCTGCGAACGCTTAAGACGAATATGCGCGGCGCTGGGGCAAGAACCACATTTCGAAAAGAAGCCAGCCTCCGTTCTTGAGGCGGCTGCATTATTTCAAGACGAATGCGCGCAGCGCTAAGGCGAGGGTCCCCTTTTGAATGCCAGTTGTGCCCCATCCTTGAAACCGTTGCAGGGGTCAAACTGCAGCATCAGAAATGGCAGGGGAATCTCAGGCGAAACGCCCGACCCGGCGGACCGACACGTCTGAGGGTGCGACAGGGAGGGGTTATCTGTATGGAAGAGGGAGGATGGAGGAGCAACAAGAGGAGGTGTGAGGAGGGCGGAAGAGGGAGGACAGAGGAGGGACGAAACATTGAGGACGAAGAGGCAGGATGAGGCAGGAGGGAGGTAGGAGGGAGGAGGAGGAGGAAGAGGAGGAAGACGGGAGGTATGAGGAGGAGGGGAGGTAGGAGGAGAGGGGGGGAGGAGGAATTGGAGGAGGAGGAAGAGCTATAGGAGGAGGAGGAGGAGGAGGAGGAGGAGGAGGAGGAAGAGGAGCTGGAAGGGGAGGAGGATGAGCAAGAGGATGAGGAGGAAGAGGCGGGAGCTAGTAGGAGGAGGGAGACGAGGAGGGAGAAACGAGAAGGAGGAGGTCGGTCGGCCGGATGTCGTCGGAAGGGGACGGGAGATCCCCGGCTTGCGACCTCGTCTCCCCCCCCTTCGACATAAAGAAAGGGACCGAAGGTCGGGGGGGGCGGCGAGGGCCTCCTAGATGCCTGGCGAATTGCACCACCCTTCCTTCCAGGATAGCAGGAGGAGGAGGGAGGAATAGGGACGAAGGAGGGGGGAGGAGGAGGAGGAGGAGGAAGAGGAGGAGGAGGAAGAGGAGGAGGACCAGTGCCAACCCAAGACTCATCAACGATGCTGGAATGCACCCTCCCTCCAAGCTCCTTCTGCATGGGCGCCTGCAAGGGATCATTTCCACTGGGGGAAGTGCCCCGTTGGGGGACAACCGTGTGAAAACCTTGAGGCGTGTCAAAACATTATTCTCATGACTTCAACATCACTGGTCAACTTGACGTTGCTACCTGAATCGTGCCAGGCCATCATTCCTGGGATTTCAACACCACGAATGAACGTAAGTGCTGCGCCCTGACAATCTCGAGTCTTTCCAAAACGCCATTTCTGGTTTGGTTAGCCGTTAGAGCCAGTGATACCCTTTCACATGTTTGGAACGAATGTGCGCTGTGCCACGGCGAGGCCCACATTTTGAGAAGGAGCCGCCATCAATAAGTGAAACCCTTGTATTTGTTTGGAACAAATGTGCGCCGCGCTAAGACGAGAGCCCCTTGTTGAAAGCCACCCGCCCTCAACCGATGGAACTATTGCGATACTTGGTCAACATATGCGCGCGGCGACAATGCGAGAACCACTATTTCAAAACGACCCGCCCTCAATCAGGGAACTTCTTGCATATTTTTTTGGACGAGTGTGCGCGGTGCTTCTGCGAGAGTCACATTTTGAAAACGGGCCGCCCTCATTCAGTGAAGCTTTTGTCAATGTTTAAGACGAATGAGCGCGTTGCGCATGCGGGAGCTACATTTTGAAAGCCACCCGCCCTCCATCTTGTAAAGCTGTTGCCAGTGTTGCAGATTCAGGCTCATAACTGGCAAGGAAGTCTCAGGCGAAATGCCCGGCCCGCCCTTCCGACTGTCTTCGGGTTCGAGAGTGAGGAGATCTTCATGAGTGCAAGGAATGGAGAATGAGGAGCAGGAGGAGGAGGAGGAGGCAGGAGCAGGTGTAAGGAATAGGCGGAGGATGTGGAGGAGGAGGAAGAAGAGGAGGAGGAAGGAGGTCGGAACAGGTTAGGAGAAGGAGCAGGACGAGGAGGAGGAGGAGGAGGAGGAGGAGGAGTAGGAAGATGACGAGGAGGAGGTGTGAGGAGGAGGGAGGAGAAAGGAAGAGGGATAAGGAGGATGATCGAGGAGGGAGGAGGAGGAGGCGGAGGAGGAGTCGGAGGGATCAGAGAGGATGTGCTCGGCAGTGGTCCAAGATGCCCCACTTGCGGGCCCATCTCGCCCCTCGGAGCACCCGCCAGATGGCTGCCTGATTGAACCACCCTCCCTTCAGCCGAGCAAGCGCAAACATGGATGAAGACGCGTGGATGAGCGACGTGTCCCGCTTCCGTGCAAAAGCCGCATAATCGGTCGCCATATCAGGCGTCACCAAAACCATGTTTTGTGGATTACGTTCCTCGGTCCTCGCCCGAAGTTCAGGCCGACGACGACGACGACGACGACGACGACGACGACGACGACGACGACGACGACGACTGCGGCGACGGCGACTGCAACGGCGACGGCGACGGCGGCGGCGGCGGCCGCTGCGACGACGTCGCCGAATACGACGACGACAATGACGTCGACGACGACGACGAAGATTACGACGAGGACGACGACGACGGCGGCGGCGGCGGCGACGACGACGACGCCGCCGCCGTGGTGCGTCTCCCGTGCCAGGCGCGGCGGAGTCTGAGTCTCCTCGCGGGGAGAAGCGGCGGAGGCGGGAGGCGCGCCGGGCTGGGGGGCGCCACGGGTGGATTTCTCGGGGATCCCGACACCAAAGCACTTGGCGTATCGAACAAATCGATACGGGCGTTTCATCGTTTTCGGCCTCGCGGGTCCTTCACCGGGCCTCGGGACTGTGAAAAAAGTGGACTGAAGTAAAAAGCCAAACCCGGGGAAGTGGTCAAGAGGTCGGGTGCCAGTGTCTCGAAAAAACAATCGGAACGCTGGATGTCTGGGAACGGTGCGTTGACCACACCGTACGGTGAATCAGCTGGGATTCGGGGTGGCCGCACAGTTTTCGAGGTTATGTCGTTCTTCGAGGGAGTCTCAGGTGACTGGGGCACCCACAGCCAAAAACCGGCGTCAAGGGCGGGCCTTTTTCGCACGGGGATCTTTCGGCCAGTTCTGGCCATCCTTAGCATGGTTTCGGTTTCCACGTCCAAAGGGTACTCTTTCCGATGCGTCCTGGCGCGCAGGGGGCAAGGATGCTGCCTGGCTAGGATAATTTGTTTCATTTGGTTGTTGTAGGTTGGCGTTATTTAGTGTTTTTGTTTTGTTGGTATTGATCTTTCCTGCGCTGTCCAATGGTTTTGCATCCTTACGCTCCATTATTATCGGCGATCTTGATTGTATGACTGTTTGGATGATTGCGGTGATGATGGCGACAATGACGTGGGAAAATGCCAAGATGGTGATCACGCCGCTCCACCGGCGGGAGAGGGTGAGTAGGCGGCAGAGGACCATTTGGGCAGATGAGAAGAGGGGGGGGTAGCGGGGCCGACCCCAAGAAGAAATGAGAAAGATGAGGGTGAGGGAAGGGAGGGATGGATGGAGGGAAGGATGGAGGGATGGAGAGGAGGGATGGAGGGAGGGTGGGAGGGAGGAGGAGGAGGAGGAGGAGGAGGAGGAGGAGGAGGAGGAGGAGGAGGAGGAGGAGGAGGAGGGAGGAGGAGGAGGAGGAGGAGGAGGAGCGAGGAGGAGGAGAAGGAGGAGGAGAAGGAGGAGGAGGAGGAGGAGGAGGAGTAGGGCGAGACTGAGGTGGAGCATGGAGACGAGGTCGGCTAGGAGCAGAGCGGACAAGGGTTCGCACCGCACGCAGGGGACAGCACGTGCAGAGCGTGGCCTCATTTGAGGGAGGGCGCCATCCAGCTCCACCAGCTCCCCTTCTCGGTGGCCGCTCCATCTTCGACGTCTTCTCAAGGTGACCTTGGGCGACGGCATTGAAATACGCTTTTCCCACATTTGGACCGCATTTGGCCCTCTCTCCTGTTCCTCCTCGCCCTTCCTGTTGCGTCTCACCCTTCCTCGTTCTTCTCGTGTCCCTTGTGAAGGGGCGAATCCGGTCCAAATCTGGCCCAGATCCTGTCCTAAATGTGCTCCGAACTCAAGCCTAAAAGGACAGCGCTGGGGGCTACGCAGTCTCCCGTGGAGCAGGCACCAAACTCTGTCTTTCCGTTTCTCCTCTGCTACTTCGTTCCGCTCCTCTCTTCTTTTCTCATCCTCCTGTGGTCAGCTTCGGGCGGGGCTGGGACGAGGATGAATCCGTTCAAGAGCGTTCCGGAACGGTCTCAGAGAAGGACGCGGCGCCCGAGACAACGCCGCCAGACGTCAGAAATTGCAGATTCATCTTCGACCGATTTTACCCTTGTCTTGGTTTCGTCTTAAATCTCTCTTCTCCCCTCCGCCATCACGTCTCTCCACTTATTCTTCGCTCCTCTCCCTCTTTCGTCTCCTCTTCCCCTCTTACTTCACCTCCTCGTTGTTCGACCCTTTCCTTCCCTTTTTTCTTTCGCTCCTCCTGTTCTCCCATCCTCTCCTCTTTTCTGTCCCCTATCTCTTTATTTACTCCTCTCCTCCGCCTGGCCTCCTTCACCCTCCTCCCCCTCATCCCAAAACATCCCCCCTCTGTCTCTTCCTTTCTGCCCTCACCCATCCTTATCGTCCTCGCCGTTCCTCCATGCGATGGAGTTCGCTCCATCTTCTGAATCAGCCTGCATCAGCCTCGCCGTCCCTCCTACTCTACTCATTATCTCCTCCGTCGCCTGGAACCACAAGAAGTAAGTGCCCCATATATTCATACGTATTGAAGCATTCGTAGCATATACCGAAACGCGCTGCTGTTGGATCGTAGCGCCGTTGCAGCCTGAGTGGTTGTCAGCCCAGGGAGAGTACATGCCTGTTGCCACCGTCGCCTCCCTTGTCGATGTGAGTGCGCGTTTCCCCCCTCTCTCCTCCCTCCCAGGGTCGTCGACTCAGGAAGAGGAGGACGGAGAGGATGATGATGATGATGATGATGATGATGATGATGACGATGATGATGATGACGATGACGATGACGATGACGATGATGATGATGATGATGGTGATGATGATGATGCTGATGGTGATGATGCTGATGATGGTGATGCTGATGATGATGATACTGATGATGATGATGATGATGATGATGATGATGATGAGGAGGAGGAGGAGGAGGAGGAGGAGGCGGATGGAGAGGAGGAGGAGGAGGAGGAGGAGGAGGAGGAGGAGGAGGCCCCGCGCCGCCCCCCCTCCCCTGGAGGCAGATGCATTCTGCACCGTGACCGCCGACAGCATGACCCACGTCGCGGAGAGGGGCGCATGACTCGCGGACCACAGAAAAAAAATCACATCCTCCGGTTGCCGAGCCCTCGCCTCCCACGGCCGCCCCCCCACCGGCGGCGCCCGCGGCCCTCCCCTCGCCCTCGCGACCGCTCCCCTCCTCGGGCCCCGCTCCCCGCTCTCGTCGGAGGCCCCCGAGCGGCGCGGGTGACCACCAACCTTCCTGGTGAGCCGGCGGGGCGGTCGGGGAGTCCGCGCAGGGCCTCCGCGCTCCCAGAGGACCGCTCGGGCGGCCGCCCCCAGGGTCCCGAGAGAACGTGCGGTGGCGGGCCGTGCGGTGAGGTGGTTTGTGGAGTTCGAGGTCACGGCACGGTCCGCCACCGCACGGTGCTCGGACCCCCCAGCGTCGGGGAGGGCCAGGACCCCAGGTAATGGGACCCGGTTAGTGGTAGGGCCCTGGAGCCTTTGCACTGGCCAGAATCACGAAACCAGGTTTGCCATAGCTTGTGTTTTTTCGGGTGACGGCAGTTCCGGTCAGTGGAAATGGGACGGGGGGGCGCCCCCGGTACAGATCACTAAACAAGGTTCCACTAAACCCAGTTCTGCCAACGCCCGACAGAGGACGAGCGACGCGTTCCAGAGGGGGCATTTTGCCTCGGGCACGTCCTCGCCCTCGGCGGGAGGGTCGGCGGAGGGCGGCGGAAGCACGAGCAAGAGGTCTACGTCTTTTTGGTGCAGATTTTCCGAACACGGCCAGGTGTGCACCTGCGCTGATCCTGGCCCAGGAGGGTCGGCGGAGGGCGGCGGAGGCACGAGAGAGAGGTCTGCGTCTTTTGGCTCAGAGATTCCGAACTCGGCCAGATGTGCACCTACACTGATCTTGGCCCGGCCAGCCGTGGGCCCAGGCTGGGCTCATGTGCTGGGTGGCGTCCTCCCATCCCCCCCCAATCTGCCAACCCGCCCTACAGCATAAGTCAGGAGGGGAGAAAACACACAGACACAATGAATTGTCGAATCCCCAGAAAAATATGGGAACATATGGGAAGTGGGGGGGAAGACCAAAACCCAGAAAATATGTGAAACTATCGGGAACCCTTTTATTTGTGTATATTTATTTGTGTGTCTTAGGGTCCCTTCAATAAGTCCTGCCATCCCACCTTTTCTCCCCCCATGTGATAGATGTTCGTTCAGGGGCCCTTCCTGAGCCCACCTCACGGATCGTGGTCAGGATCTAGTTCGATTCCTTTTCGATTCTAGCTCGAGCATAGGTCGAGTCAGGGCGACGGACGTTGGACGCAGCATCGACGCGTCGTGGAGCGAGTGGCTCCAGGAAGGTCCACAGCCCCCAGAACGAGTATCTAACTTGTGATGGCGCCCAGAGTCTACAGTGCCCCGCCATCCCCCTCGGCACCACGCCCTGGCGAGTCCAAACCGGCGAGAGCTGCTCCTGCCGCTCTTCTCCGGTGCCGCCCGCCTCTGCAGCCCGCCCTGGCTGGAGCTTCGCCCGAGGGCGCTGCGGGACCCACTCCCGGGGGGAGCTGTGGTCCCCGTCGGTCTTTGAGAGCTCCTCCCGGATCTTACAATCCTTATTTCTGTTCTAAGGACTTGGGCTGGTGTGTCGGTCTGGCGGCTATGTGGCCGCCTCAGCGCCGCCCGTCGTCTGGGCCTGTGTGTCGCTTTGGCGGCGATGTAGCCGAACTCGCCGCCCCGTCGCCGCCTCAGCACCGCCCGTTGTGTGGGCCAGAGTTGCGCTCTGGCGGCTACGTTGCCCACGCCGCCGCCCCGTCGCCGCCTGGTCGCCTCCAGTCGTCTGGGCCGGTGTGGCTATGTTGTCGCCGTCGCCGCCCCGTCGCCGCATCGTTCCACCACAAAGATTGCACCATATGGATTGCTCAATGTACATTGCGCCACATAGAGTGCACAATCCATTTTGCACCACATAGTTTCTCTTTTCTAGGAAGGAGTTCGGATCGATCCCCCCTCGGTCTGATCGGCCCTCCCTGGCATATTAGTTTTTACGTATGACTTTGCCCCACCGTTCATCTTAAGTACTCACTCGTACCATCGCAGCCCGGCTGGTATCGCCCTCTTCATTTCTGACAAATGGTACAATGCGCGTTTTCGCTTATCATAAATCATCAGTTTTGCATTCTGTACCAAAGACTTAAACAAAGTCTACGCGCTTGTGTTCGCGCGCGCATGCCGGTCTTTTGTTGTATACTAATAAAACGACAGGTGTCACAATCGAGTGTCCCGATATGGGCATTTCAACATGATTGGGAATGTGCGACCACACGGGCCCGTCGCGCTCATGTCGACATCATTCGAACGCCCTTGCGCGCGTGCTGGTTGAGCGTGTGCTGGAGGGCACGGTTCCTGTCAAATAATGCAATGAGGGCCGCGCGCGCGCGTCGTCCACTCGCGCGCATTTCTAAATGCTTCGAACCAGTTTATCACCGACACGTTGACACCATCATCATCATGCACGTGACCAAAATCGGTGCCATCATTGGCGTTGGCGTCGTCATTGTCACCATCGTCACAAGCATCGCGTCCATAATCATGTGTGCTATTGTCGACGTCGCCATGAGACCGCGCCCGCCCAAGTCACCGCAGTGAAGTGCCCGCACGTCAGCGCGGCCTGCGAGATGCGCTGGGAAGTGCCCAGTGGTCAGCACCACCATGGCCTCGTCGGTCGCGCCAGACTGGCTGGCCGCTCTGCTCGCGACCCTGCGCGCGTTAGCGCCGCCGCAGGGATGTGCCAGCCAGCGCTAAGCAGTCATCGCAATTGCCTCCGCATGGGTTTTGCGAGCCCAGCTGCCGATGGATGGGTGTCACGATCGCGCGAGCAGTGGAGCTGATAACTTCAAGTTCGACGCAGCGAACAAAAAGCCTTTGCGACAAAAAAAGAGTACACCATCTAGACGGGCAATCTCACGAACGAATCCGGAAGTGACGTCACCGTCGTCCTTGTCAGAGCGGGGCCTCACGTTCCGTCTCCCAATCGGTTTTTTTCATGTTCGCCGTGTCGTCGGCCCTCTTCCCGCCCCTTGCTCTGCCGCCTCCCCATCCTCATGCTTCTTCTACCCCTTCCGCCTTCCCCGCCCCTGTAGTAAAGTCGCGTTTTCTGATGGTCAGATCAAGAAACCACTGGGACATCCCCGTGGGCCAGGTTGTTGGGACAACCTCACAGGCCGTTGGGGCGCGGGAGCAAGCCGTTCAGGCCCCGAGCTAGTTGTACCCGCGCCTAGGTTGGTGGCAGCGCAAAGCCCAGCTTTGCCGCGAAGTGCTCCGCATCGGCCCTGGAGCTCCCCGTTCTTTTGTCGAACTCCTTGGGCGCTTTCCCCAGGGAACCAGGCGACCCGCAATCCAGGAACTCTAGCGTGGACGGCCGCTGAATCAGCATGTTCCGCATGCGCTTCCTCACCATTTGCTCACAGACGAGGCTCCCGCTCAAGACCTCCGTCATACTCAAGTTTCCAGAGGCGAATCGTGACGACAGTGACAGGTTTCCGATGGCCAGCTCGGATCCATAATGAGAGCTGCGGGGTCCACAGGGAGGGGGGTCCCGCCTGAGACTTCTTCGCCATTCGATGACGAACGACGCTCCCGGCTGCAGACAGAAACTTCTTCAACACTCAAGCTTCAACATGCCAGAAATGTCAGGCACACGTTTCCGATGGCCGCTCGGATTCGTGACATGAGGTGCGGGTCCCGAGGGACGGGGCTCCCGCCTGCGCCTGATGCGCCCTCGCAGTCTATTCACAAATAAGGACCGCCGCTCAAAACATCCGCCATACTCAGGATGAAGGGGTTCAAAAGTACCAACAGTCAGTAAACGGAGCCGCGGGCCCCATAGGGAAGGGGGTTGCCGCCTGAGGCTTCCTCGCTGTCCACTCAAGCATGGGGCCCCCGCTCGAGACTTCCGCCGTATTCGGGATTTGGGAGCACAGGAGTGACGACTGTCGTATGGTTCTGATGGTCCGCTCGGATTAGTAACATGAGTCGGGGGCCCCAGGGGACGGGCTCCCGCCTGAGATGTATTATCACTTTGCTCAGGCGAACGAGGCTCCCTCTCGAGACATCCGCCAGAGTCATAATCGAAAGCTTAAGGTAAGGATTGTGAGTCCCAGGTTCCGACGACCCGTTCGGAATAGCGGGCCCCATAGGCGGGGGGCTTCCGCCTGACGCTTCCCCGCCAGCCTCTCAGAGACTAGGTTCCCGCTAGAGATTCCCGCCATATTCGGTATTGGGGTGCGCAGAATTGACGACAATTACGTGGTTCCGATAACCCGCTGGGATTGGTAACGTGATCTGCGGGCCCCATAGGGAGGGGGCTTCTGCCTGAGACTCCTTCTCAAAAAAAGACAGCAAGAACTCCCACCTGAAAGTGACTTGCAAATCTCTCGCGGTGATGATGTCGGGGTGTGTGTTTACCGCGCGGAGGTGTCCAGAGAAAACGCTGTGTGGTGGTGGTGGTGATGATGAGGTTTCCGATGTCGGTGGTGATGGCGATGATGATGATGCTGATGATGATTGTGATGCTGGTGATGATGACGGTGATGATGATGATGTTGGTGTTGATGATGATGATGTTGTTGACGACGATGACGACGACGATGATGATCATGATCATGCTCATGATGATGATGATGCTGATGATGATGATGATGATGATGATGATGATGATGCTGATGCTGATGCTGATGCTGCTGCTGCTGCTGCTGCTGCTGCTGCTGATGATGGTGCTGGTGACCGATGGCCATCTTGTGCTGATGGTAGCCGTGATTTATGCAAGTGGCTGGCGCCATTCCGCCGACCCACAAGGAGTGAGCGTTTGAGACGACTGTGGAAGTTACAGTGTGGGTCAGGAGCATCCTGGACGATTCTGAAGTTTTCCTGGGATGCTTCTCTGGGGCCTCTTCGAACACTCTTGGTGCCTTTGGGGGCCACGAGGGGGGTCGAGGGGCCGTCTTGGCGGGATTGGCTCGGAATGTCAGCCCGCATCACTTGGCCAATGTCCCCGTGGCGATCCCTGACCTC